GGCTTCAGCCGTTGCGCAGTATATTCAGGCTGCTTCGGCTTCTTGCCGTCCTATGTCGGACTTCCTGGTTCTCCGGTGGGTCCCTTGGTGGGCCTTCCCGGAAAGATCGTGCCAAGGCTCGGGGTTCCTCTCGTTGTGGTAGGCCACTGGTGTCGGGTTCGGGTTCGACTCCTCCTTTTGACCCGCCTTCATCTGGTCGGCGCGGTGTTCACTCGGTGTGAGGTTCTGGGTCTCACGCCTGGCCCAACGATTCGTGGGCGTTTTGGGTCGTTTCACACAGCCTCCGGTAGTGTTGGGTAGCCCCTCTCTTTAGGGGGTTTGGGGCTGGTGGGGCAGGCCTCTTGCCCTGCGCGGTCAGGTCATCTTGGAGTGGGTTCGCTTGAGTGGTTGAAACGACAACGTCTCAGGTGGGTTTCCCGTCCGTTTCTGGTCCCGAAATGGGACTGCATGGACCTGCGGTTCATTCTGGACTTGTCCCGTCTGAACCCCTGGGTTCATTGCCCTTCCTTTCGGATGACTACGCTGTCCCAGGTTCAGCTCCTGTTGGAGCCGGGCGCTTAGACGGTGTCCCTGGACCTCTGGGATGCTTATTGGCATGTCCCAATTCATCTGGGATTCAGGGGACTGGCTCGGTTTTGTTGGGGGCGTCAAGGTTACCACTTTTGTTGTCTCCCGTTCGGGTTGAACCACGTGCCTTACATGGGTCGTGGTGGCCCGTCTTCATCTGTTAGGTGTTCAGGTGTTGGCCTACCTCGACGACTGGCTGGTTTGAGCTCCCAGCCGGTCCTCTTGTCTGCTGGCCAAGGATTTGGTTCTTTCTCAGCTCGCCGGGTTCTGGTTCTTGGTGAACTGGAGGAAGTCCCATCTGGTTCCCTCCCAGGTTCAGGCATGGCAGGGCCTTGTGTTGGACCCCTGGACCACTTCCTTTTCTCTTTCTCTGGAGTCTCTCCTGTGGCTGCGGTCCCACATCCGCCTGTTTCTGAGGGGCTCCAGGGTCACCCGGTGGTTACTCGAGGGTCTGTGCGGGAACCTGAACTTCGCGATGCTGGTCTACCCGCTGGATTGGGTTTGGCTTCATCGGCTGTTCTGGTTCCTTCTGGGACGTCCCTTCCTCCTCTCTCGCGATCGCTGGGCTCAGACCCCGGGGGCCTTGCGTTGGATGCTGCGTCGTTGGCTTCCTCTTCGGGTGTTTCAGGATTCAGTGCCTTGGCGCCTACCCGAGCCCTCGCTCGATGTGTTCACAGATGCGTCATCTCTCGGCTGGGGCTTTGTGACCAGTGCTCATCAGGTCGGCCAGGAACGGTGGGGGTTCGTCTTTCCGTCGAGCCCACAGCACAGTGCGGGAATTCGCGGTGGTGTGGTTTGCTCCTCGGGCTTCGGGTCGCCTGCGGGTCAACGATCCGGCTTCATTCGAATTGCTCCCCGGTGGTTCATTGTCTGAACCGGGGGGAGGGGGGTCAATGTGGTCCTTGGCTCTTTGGCGCTGGTCGCTTCGGGTGACTCGTCTGCTGAGTTCTCGGGGTTTGGCTCTCCTGGCAGTTCACGTGCAGGGAGTGTCCAACGTCTTGGCTGACGGCCTGTCTTGTTTTGTTCCCCTCTCCACGAAATGGACGGTCGACGCCGACTCCTTCCATTGACTTTGCCAGACGTTCGGACGCCCCGAGGTGGATCTCTTCGTGTCGGCTTGGTCTGTGTGCCTTCCCCAGTATGTGGCGCCCTTCCCCAACTGCAAGGCCGTCGGGGTCGATGCCAGCCGGCAGGACTGGTAGAGGTGGGGGTTCCTTTACCTCTTTTCCCCAGTTCCGCTGTTGCTCCGCGTTCTGGCTGGCTTGGAGACTTACCAGGGAAAAAGTTGTCCTCTTGGCCCCATGGTGGCCGGCCCAGTCGTGGTTTCAGGCGCTGCTTGCTTGGTGTCTGAACCCAGATGTTTTCCCGCGACTTCGCCTCTTCCAGCAGATCGAACCGGTGCATCACGGGGCTGGTTCGATCTTCTCGAGTCTTCGCGTATGGTATTTTTGACTCGTGTTTATCATCTCTATGGTGATCAGGTGACTTCCTTGTTCGTGTCCCACCTGCGGGCTTCGTCTCAGCGGCAGTATGAAGTTTCCTGGCGGTCCTTCCGGTTCTTCTTACGTCTTCGTCGTTGTACTTCGCTTTCGGTTAGGGTGGTGTTGTCCTTTCTCTCTTGGTTGTTCCAGGACCGTCTCCTTATGCCTAACACTGTTGCCTCGTATCGTGCGGCGCTGGTGGAGCCGCTTTAGCTTGCTTTCGGTATTGATGTTATGTCTGCGCCGTTTCGCAAGCCGTCTCTGGCATTGTTTCACCTCCGGCCTGCTCATGCGCCGCCTGAGCCATCGTGGTCATTGGACGGAGTGCTCTCTTATCTTTCTTCTTGGTTTGTTGTGGCCCCTTTGGTTCAGGATTGTTTCTCCAAGGCTCTTTTTTTTTTCTGTTGGCGTTGGCCTCTGGGAGTCGGGTTGGCGAGTTTCATGCTCTCCTCCAGCGCAGGGGTTTCTGCTCTTTCGGTTGGGGCGATCGGTTTGTTCATCTGCAGCCTTCTTCTTTTCTGGCGAAGAATGAGACTGCTGTTTTCCAGAGGGGTCCCTGGGTTGTTGTTGCTTGGTTGGCTAGGCCGGGGGTGCATCATGTTTGTCCCCGGTTGCGGCTTTCTGCTGCTATTTACGCACCGCGGCTTCTGTGTCCGTGGACGCGCTTTGTGCTGACCCGGTTTCCCTTCTTCCCTGTTCTCGGGTGCGGGTCTCCCAGGTCATCCGCAGGGTTATTGAGGCTAGCCAGCCTGCGGTCTACCCTCGTGCCCATGACGTTCGCGACTCTTGCCTCTGTCTTTGGCAATATGTCTTGGGCTGACATTCGGGTACGGGGATTTTGGCAGTCGAACAGGGTCCTGGCTGCTCGTTACCTTGTTAACGTCCCTGGGCCCAGTCGGGCCTGTGTCACTTTGGGGTTGGCGGATGCAGCCAGGTGTCTCGACTTCTGGTTGAGGAGCAAGCAGCAACCGCCTCTTGGGTAAGTCCCTCTTTTTTCCTCTGTAGCTAGTTAGCTCCAGGGAGCTGTAGGGGCTCCCCCCAGAAAACCATTGTTGAATGTAGTGAAACGCCATTTTCTGGGCGAGACCTGGAGGCTCACCGGCATCCCTCTCTCCCTCCGGTTGGCGGTTTTTCACGTGTTTTGACATCCAACCTCAGAACTGGGGTGTGGGTCGTTGGCTCGGTAGGTCTGGGGCTCCCCCTTCCCCCTCCCGGAGAGGGGAGAGCTGTGCAGACGGCGGCGCGGCAACAGGTGACATCACACTAGTTTACCTATGTTCAGTTCCCTGCTTTTGGACTTCTCCGGTGTTCCGTTTTGGTACCGAGTTCCTGCGATTTTCTGTGTGACTTATTGCCGGCTTCGGTGTTGTGCTGTCTGTGGGGGGTGGTGGACTTTCGGTCTAGCGCCTCCTGCCTTCCTGGTTCCTTTTCTTGGTCCCGGTAGTTCCAGTACTGGCTCCGGGATTTTCTTTATTCCTTTTCCGGAACGGGTGTGTTTGCTTTCCTGCGGTTCATGTCCTGGGTAATTCTCCTCTTGGATGCCTCAGGGACGCGTGCGTCATTCTTCTCTGCTCCAGCTGGTTACGTTGCTCCTTTGGGTTGCGGGATCGCTGTTTTTCGATCCGTGTTTTGCGCTTTCGTTCGTGGTGCTAGTTTCTCGGTTGTGTCGGCACTGGTTGGTTCGTTGTTGGTCTCCCACCTGTGTGTTTCGTCTTGGGGGCGGTGTGTGGTTTTCCTGGCAGTCCTTCCGGTTTTCCCATGTCTGCGAAGGGTCCTTCAGTCTTTGATAAGGTTGGCTTGTCTTTCCTTCGGGGTTGTTCCGGGACCATTGTCTGGGATCGTGTCCTGTCACCTCGTATTGGGTGGAGCTGGCGGAGCCGCTCCTGCTTGTGTTCGATGTTGCGGTTCCTTCTGCTCCGTTCCGCTTGCTGTCCTAGGCGCTGTTTCCCCTCTGACCTGCTCTTGCGTTTTGGTGTCGTCCTGGTCGTTGGCCTGGGTGGTCTATTTTCTTCTCGTTTTGGTCTTTGTTTTGTCTGTGGTCGTGGTTTTTTGGTTAGGGCACGTGGCATCTGCCTCCTGGTTCCTTCCCTGTTTTCCTTATCTGTGGTGAGGTAGCTCCGGGGAGCCGACGGAGCTCCCCCTAGAAAACCAGCAATGAATGTAATGAAACGCCATTTTCTGGGTGAGTCCCGGAGGCTTCCTGGCATCCCTCTCTCCCTCCCTCCGGTCGGCGGCATTTTTTCGCGTATTTTGACATCCAGCCTAAGAACTGCCAGTTGGATCACCTGCGTGGAGGGTCTGGGGCTTCCCCTTCCCCCTCCCGGGGAGGGAGGGGGGGTTGCGCAGACGGTGGCGCAGTGACGTGATGCCATGCTAGTTTTATAATTTTGTTTGGGGAGTTCTGTCCACTCGTTCGGCTTTCGGTAGCAATATTTTCACCAGAATAGGGGTTTGTTTTGGGGCGCCTACCTTTCTGGGTGCATATCCCGGTCGATAGCAGACATAGAATGCTCCCAACCACATGGGGGTTTCTATAGGCCATTGCTCCTCGTGCCTCTCTGAGGGGGCCAGGTTCTGGCTCGTGGTCCCCGGTAGGCAAGAACTCCTAGCACTTTGATGCCAGAAAGTTATACATATCCATTCAGCTCTGGGGAGCCTCCGGGAAGCCTCCGGGACTCACCCAGAAAATGGCGTTTCATTACATTCAACGCTGGTTGTTTGTGTGTCTTTGCATTGCGTATTGTTTTATTGTTTTTCATTCAGCCACAGTGACCTACTTATGGTAGAAATTATCTACTTTTACAGTCAGTTATGATGGTTACAAATACTATATATTCTTTAAAGGGTATTTAATTTAGTTTTTTATTTGAAAGGGATAATGTAAGATAGTCCTGAGTGTGCTCTTAGTTTGGGTATACAGGATTTCAAAATCACTCTGAAATCACCTTTTAGGTATATGATAACATGTGGAGCTGATGGTGAGGTGCGTGTTTTTGAGGGGCTCGATGACGACGACTGCAAGACCTACGTGGTTGCTGAGTGTGCCTCTGCCGTTGCTTATCGGGTGAGCACTTGATATTTATATACCAAGCTGGTACAGTACTTGGATGTACTGTAATTATTTCTGAATTGCATTATTTTGCCACTTCTGACGTTCCTAATTGTGGTTCCAACTCTAGTATCTGCAGTCCATAATTCAGAGCTATGGCCCACCACCACATAATTACCAGCATGTGCCCACACTTTGTCTGTTGTTTTGCTGAATATAGCTGCTGGTGGTGAAAACTGTACTCGCCTAGTTGTGCTTGCGGGGATTGAGCTTCGGCTCGTTGGTCCCACCTCTCGGCCATCAGCCAACTGGTGTATGGATTCCTGAGCCTACTGGGCTCTATCATATCTACATTTGAAAGTAGTAGTGTATGGAGTCTGCCTCCACCACATCACTGCCCAATTCATTCTATTTGTAACTGCTGACATTAAAAACATTCTTTCTAATGTCTCTGTGAGTCATTTGGGTAGTCAGTTTCCACCCTTGTCCCTTTATGCATTTACCCCCGGGTTAAATAAACTGTCTTTATTGACCCTATCAATTGTTCTGAAAACCCTGTATTGTGATCATGTCTCCCCCTAACTCTTCTGTCTTCCAGTGACATGAGGAAGACAAATCTTCAAGTTCCTGCAGTCTTTCTTCGTTGCTCTTACCCTTCAGCTCGGGTATTAGTCTGGTGGCGTACCTTTGAACCCGTTTCAATTTAGTCGTGTGCTTGACGAGATACAGACGCCACCCTGGAGCTGTGTACTCCAGGATTGATCTGACATAGGTGGTATACAAAGTTCTGAATGATTCTTTAAAAAAGTTTATAAAGGCTATTCTTTTGTTGGCCAACCTGGTATATGCCGCTGATAATATCCTCTTGATTTGGGCTACAGGGGTCAGGTCTGGCATGATATCAACCCCCAGATTTTTCTTGCTCTCTGATTCTTGCAGGATTTCATCACCTAAATGGTACTTTGTATATGGCCTCCTGCTCCCTGCACCTATCTTCTTTACTTTACATTTGCTTGGGTTACACTCTTAATAGCCATTTGTTGGACAATTCTTTCAGTTTATCCAAGTCATCTTGTAGCCTCATGGTGTCATCCTGTCTTAATTCTTACAAGATCATCAGCAAACATTGAGAGGAATGACTATACCCTCTGGAAGGTTATTTACGTATATCATTATGTATATGTAGGTCTGAGTACAGAATCCTGTACTCCCCTAGATGTGCTTGCTGGGGTTGAGCTCTGGCTCTTTGGCTCCGTCTCTCAACTGTCAATCACCTGATGTACAGATTCCTGAGCCTACTGGGCTCTATCAAATCTACATTTGAAACTGTATGGAGTCAGCCTCCACCACATCACTACTTAATGCATTCCATTTCTTATCTACTCTGGCACTGAAAAAATTCTTTCTAATGTCTGTGGCTCAGCTGGGTACTATGTTTCCACCTGTGTCCCCTTGTTCGTGTTCCACCCGTGCTAAAGAGCTTCTTTGTCCACCCTGTCAATTCCCCTGAGAATTTTGTAGGTGGTAATCGTTCTTCCCTTACTCTTCTGTTTTCCAGAGATGTGAGGTTCAGCTCCCTTAGCCTTTCCTCGTAGCTCATACCTCTCAGTTCCAGGGCTAGTCTGGTGGCATATCTCTGAATCTTCTGTCTTATGGTTTAACTAGGTATAGACTCCAAGCTGGAGCTGCATACTCAAGGATTGGTCTTACATAAGTGGTATACAAGGTCCTGAACGACTCCTTACACAAGTTTCTAAAGGCAGTTCTCATGTTGACCACTCTAGCATATGCCGCTGATGATATCCTTTTGATGTGGGTCTCTGGGGGACAGGTTTGGTGTGATATCAACCCCCAGAGTTTTCTATTTGACTCCTGCAGGATATCACCTCCCAGATGGTACCTTGTGTTTAACCTTCTGCTCCCTTTGCCTATTTTCATTACTTTAAACTTTCCCGAGTTGAACTTCAGTAGCCATTTTCTAGACCATTCCTTCAGTTTGTCCAGGTCGTCCTGTAGTTTGTCTATCTTCATCTGTCGTGATTCTTCTCATAATTTTTGCATCATCAACAAACATTGAGAGGAATGAGTATACTCTCTGGAAGGTCATTTACATATATTTGAAACAGGATGGGTCCGAGTACAGAGCTCTGTGGGGGCTCCGCTGGTGATGTCTCCCCACTCTGATGTCTCCCGCCTCACAGTTACTCGCTGTTTCCTGTTGCCTAGATACTGCCTAATCCATTGGAGCACTTTACCTTTTACTCCTGCTTGATGCTCCAACTTTTATAACTGCCTTTTGAGAGGTGCTGTGTCAAAGGCTTTCTGACAGTCCAAGAAAATGCAGATCTCTGAACCCATGCCGGTGGTGTGTTACAAAGCTATTTCCCTCCAGATGCTCCGAGTCTTTTCCTCCAAATGCGCTGAGCCTTTTCCTCACGATCTTCTCCGTCACCTTGCATGGTATACAAATTAGGGAAACTGGCCTGTAGGTCAGTGCCTCTTGCCTGTCACCCTTTTTGTATATTGGAACTACATTACCTGTCTTCCAGCTTTCCTGTACTCGCCTAGTTGTGCTTGCAGGGGTTGCTTTTTGGCTCTTTGGTCCTGCCTCTCGATCATGTATATCATTGATTGTACAGATTACCAAGCCTACTAGGCTCCATCATATCTACATTTGAAACTGTGTATGGAGTCAGCCTCCACCTCATCATTTCCTAGTGCATTCCATTTAGTGTACTAACTACTGACACTGAAAAAGTTCTTTCTAATGTCTCTGTGGCTCATTTGGGTACTCAGCTTCCACCTGTGTCCCCTTGTGCATGTACCACCCTTGTCTACCCTATCAATTTCCCTGAGAATGTGGTGAGCGTGTCTCCCTGAGCTCTTCCGTCTTCCAGCGACATGAAGAGTTCCCTCAGCCTTTCCTCGTAACTCGTGCCTCTTAGTTCTGGGGCTAGCCTAGTGGCATATCTTTGAACTTTTTCCAGTTTCATCTTGTGCTCTACAAGGTACGGGCTCCATGCTGGGGCCACATACTCTTGGATTGGCCTTACATATGTGGTATACAAGATTCTGAAAGATTCCTACACAAGTTTCTGATGGCAGTTCTGATGTTAGCCAGCCTCGCGTACGTTGCTGATTTTATTCTTTTGATGTGGGCTTCAAGAGACAGGTTTGTTATGATATCAACTTCTAGGTGAACAAATCCACAAGGGCTGTGACGAGGGTTCGAAACTACAGTATGTCCAAGTGGATCCCAGACGCTGCCTTAATTGTTTATTTGATGCATCACGCTATTGTGATTTCTGTGTGTAATGTAGTTAACTCCTAGATCTTTCTCCCTGTTCATTCTCCCCGAGTCCTGTGGGACTGCTGGTGACATCATGCCATTCTGAGGTCTCGCCCCCTCAGTAATTCTCTGCTTCTTGTTGCTTAGATACTTCCTTATCCACTGAAGCACCCTACCAGTTACTCTTGACTGTTTCTCCAACTTATGCACCAGGCACTGTGTCAAAGGCTTTTCAGACAGTCCAAGACAATGCAATCTGCCCAACCTTTTTGTTATTACTTAACCCTTAGAGAGAGGCTATGAAAAAATGCCTACGTGTAAAACAAAAGAAAATCTTTATAGAATTAATTTTTTTTGCAATATGTAAGAAACGTGAAGATAAGCAAATGTTTATAATTTCTGTGGTTGGTGGTGCTTTGCAAGTCTGTGTCTGGCACTAGTCAATGCCTGGTGCTTGACTTTGCTGACGCTTCCTGTTTTATCCTCGAATGTTTTACTGATCGTTTTATCACTTGTTTTTCTATATTTACGTCCACATGGAGCTATTATATCGATACAGTATTTGCATCATACTTGTAAAACCCAGAGAATTGTTTAAATCATCATATGATGACTGCTTTCATAACCATGAAATGGTAGCAAGGTTTCTTTCAAGGGTCAAGGTAAATTCCATTAAATTTTCATACACCTATTATATCCTTATTTGCATCAACACCTTTTATATCCTTATTTGCATCATATGCATAAAACCCAGACATTGTTTAAATTGTCATATGACAATATCTGCACTACCCCATGAATCAACATTTGACGATGACCGCAGCCCAAGGGTTAATCTTTGTCACCTGGTCGTAGAATTCTATTAAGTCTGTGAGGCAAGATTTACCATCTTTGAACTTATGTTGGTGGTGTCACAAAGTCACTTCTCTCCAGATGTGCTACTACTGTAGGTTTATCTGTGGGGATCCATGTCTGCTTTCTGAAGCTATCCAAACTGATGTGTGCTATATTAGTTTGGGGTCATCAGTCGCAGGAATCCTTATGCCTACCGGGAACCACGAGCGAACCTGGCTTCCTGAGGGAGGTGCAGGGAGCAATGGCCTACAAGCACTTTATATTTAAAGTATAGTACTGTATGTCATAATTGCCATCAAACGAGGAAGCACTCGGAAAGATAGGTGAAACAAAACGGACCACAATCTGGTAAAAATTGTGACATACATCTGAAAAGAGCAAAAGACACTCCCCCCAAGAAGGAAAAACAAGCAGCAACACTTCATCCGCCTAGCACTCCCACTCGTTAGCACAACCCTCCCCCACCTTCCTGAAAGGGGAGCTGGCAGTCGGAACAGTCACCGTCATGACTGAAGCCAGTCATGTTCCTGTTCTGGATTTTGTGCTGTGTGGCTGTACCAGCTGTGTGTTGGTGTGGTGGCCAGGTGTCTTAGTGTACAGAAGCATCATGCACCTAGAGTGATCTTCCGTAGGTGCTTCATAAGTTCTGCCCCTTGCCTTTCATGGTTATCTTCCCTGGGGCATTTGGGAATCATTCCCCCGCTAGAGGACTTTGTCTCTTGGGGTTTTCTTTGCATTTGGAGTGCATCAAGGCTCTTCAGCTTTGTCTTTCCCTGGGTAGAAGGTGGGGGGAGGGAGTGTTTTTGGCTGGGTGGTGCATCCTGCTTTACTTCAATGAGACGGCCAAAGCTTCTCTCTGACTGCCAGTTTGTTTGTTGTGTGCCTTCGGGGGGCCTTTAGTTTCTTTTTCTGATGTGGACAGAGGAGGTCTGTCTGGCTTCTTGTTAGGGCTAGCCTAGGTTGTGTTGGTGGTCTTCCTCTGTTGCCCTTGAGGTTTCACTGCTGCTGCAGGTGGTCAGTTTGCCTGCTACTAGATAGGGGTTCTACTGGCCCCAGTGCCTGGGCTTCCCGTGGGATTGCTTTGCCCTACAGGCCTTGGGAGAACCCCCGTGGGCTCAGTGGTACGATAGATACTTCAGAGTCCTTCTCTTGCCTTGTGCAACGTTGAAGGTTGCTTGTTGTCCCTACCGACGCTCATTTGTACTGCCTCTTGTCGTGCTGCCTGTTGGGTCGGGGACACCTATGAACAAGAATCTTGTGGGACTTGTTCCCAGCTTGTACAGTACTTCAATTTACTCATTCCTTGTCTGCGAATTTTAGGAGTTGGGCAGCGGCTGTGTTGCATGCTTAATTCTCCTCCATGTAACTTGCCTGGTTGAAGGCTCTGGAAGTTGCCTTGAGGTGGTTTTAGGAGCTTAGCATCCCCGCGGCCCGGTCATCGACCAGGCCTCCTCGTTGCTGGACTGGTCAACCAGGCTGTTGGATGCGGCTGCTCGCAGTTTCACGTATGAATCACAGCCTGGTTGATCACTTGGGTTTTGAAGTGAACATGGAGCCTGCACTTGGGTTTTAGTGACCATGATTTGAGGGTTTTAGTGATCAGAATTTGGGGGTTTAGTGACCATTTTTCGACCCAACTGCCTTGGTGTCTGCCCACTTTTTTCCTGGTCTCGCTCTTCTACTCTGAAATTTACTCACTCCACTGGTCTATCATTATCCATTTATTCAGATTGCCTAACCATGTCAGTCTTGCAGTTTATTGACTTGTACTTCACACCTCCATGATATTTTAATTTGTTAATTTACCTACTTTTACCACCTCGCATGCTCCTCAGAATAATTTTTGTCTTGAACTAAACTTCAAATGTAATAGCAACCAGCTACAATTCCCCCTTTACATACGCTTTGATTAATCATTCGTGTTTGTAAATATTTGTCTCTTGCATCGCCTAACTCTTAACTCGCTTGTCTTTTCCCAGAATGGCTGCTTCTTGGTGGGCACAGACTGCAATTGGGTTCAGGCGTATACAATGGATGAAGGTGCCCCTAGCGGCATCATCACAAGATTTACTGCTCCACCCACCCACATTGTTGTCAGTAAGGATGGCAAGCTGGTGGCATGTGCTGGCAGGTACTGTATCTTGATGACTGATGTACTCTGTAGAATGGGCACCTGTGGTTCCTTGTTGCTTGGTGTGGCATGTGGTGACAGTTTGTATTGAGTGTAAGGTTTGTGTTGCCTGCAGCGTGGGGGTTAATGTGAGGGAGGAGTGGAGAGTGTAAGGTTTGTGTTGCCTGCAGTGTGGGAGTTAATGTGAGGGAGGAGTGGAGAGTGTAAGGTTTGTGTTGCCTGCAGTGTGGGGGTTAATGTGAGGGAGGAGTGGAGAGTGTAAGGTTTGTGTTGCCTGCAGCGTGGGAGTTAATGTGAGGGAGGAGTGGAGAGTGTAAGGTTTGTGTTGCCTGCAGTGTGGGGGGTTAATGTGAGGGAGGAGTGGAGAGTGTAAGGTTTGTGTTGCCTGCAGTGTGGGGGTTAATGTGAGGGAGGAGTGGAGAGTGTAAGGTTTGTGTTGCCTGCAGTGTGGGAGTTAATGTGAGGGAGGAGTGGAGAGTGTAAGGTTTGTGTTGCCTGCAGTGTGGGGGTTAATGTGAGGGAGGAGTGGAGAGTGTAAGGTTTGTGTTGCCTGCAGCGTGGGAGTTAATGTGAGGGAGGAGTGGAGAGTGTAAGGTTTGTGTTGCCTGCAGTGTGGGGGTTAATGTGAGGGAGGAGTGGAGAGTGTAAGGTTTGTGTTGCCTGCAGTGTGGGAGTTAATGTGAGGGAGGAGTGGAGAGTGTAAGGTTTGCAAGTGTTGCCTGCAGTGTGGGAGTTAATGTGAGGGAGGAGTGGAGAGTGTAAGGTTTGCAAGTGTTGCCTGCAGTGTGGGAGTTAATGTGAGGGAGGAGTGGAGAGTGTAAGTTTTGCATGTGTTGCCTGCAGTGTGGGAGTTAATGTGAGGGAGGAGTGGAGAGTGTAAGGTTTGCAAGTGTTGCCTGCAGTGTGGGAGTTAATGTGAGGGAGGAGTGGAGAGTGGTCAGTGAAGGTGCACACACTACGTTCTTAAAGACACCCAAAGCAGCACTATAGTGAGGGAAGCAGTTGCGATGGTCCATGTTAATGCTTTCAGAGTTATTGAAGCCAGTTGGTCTACCTGCAAATACACAAAAACAAATTTGAATGTTGTAGTTTTGCTGATTAGTGAATGCCAGGCTTCTTGGACAAATATATACTGTAGTTTAGATGAATGACTGTAATCTAAATAATTTTTCATGTACTGTGCTGAAAATTCTAGCCATCTCTCTAAAGCCATCACTAGCATTTGAATTTTGTTTCCAGTGACATGACCATTCGTGTACACGAGCCGGTGGAGTACAAGGACACTGTGTTTTCGGGACACCAAGCTCCTGTACTCTCTGTTGCTATTGACCCAAAAGGTGAATATGATTCCTGTCATGTTTTATTTTTGCTTGTATGTAGGACAATGTAGTGTATATATGTGTTATGTTTTCTGTGGGGAGCCCCTAAGGCTCCCTGGAGCTTATCGGGGTAATGTTACGTTAGACTGGGACGTTAGCCAAGGAGTTCAGACCTACCAGGGACCAGCGTTAGAACCTGGCCCCTTCAGAGAGGTTTGAGGAAGCAATGGCCCTGGAAAACCCCCTTGTGGTTAGGGTTTTCCTTATCTGCCATCGACCGGGGTTAGGCACCAAGAAAGGTAGGCATAACAAAACAAACCCCACATGGTAAAAAACTAAAACAAAAACCGAACAGAGAGGTAGAAACTCCCTACAATCCCAAGGAAACAAGCAAACATCATACTTTACTGCCACGCCGATCATCCGCGCAGCCCTTCCCTCCCCAAGAGGGGAGAGGGAGCCCCAGACCTCACTGCACCGACTGCCTAGCATCAGTTCGTAAGCTAATGTCAATCGGGATAGACTCTTCTCTGGCCTCGGTTTCCTAGGCGGTGTTTGCCTTGCGTGGCGTTCACTGCCGTGTGTTGTGTTATGCGGTGGCCAGGTGTTCATCAGTACCAGGGCTGCATGCGCTTAGGAGCTTCCTTCCCTAAGCTCCCTGTGAGTACTGCCCCTGTGTGACAGTAGTTATCTTCCCTTGGGCGTTCGGGAACCATTCCATAGAGGTTCTTGCTGCTCAGCATTTGCCTCTCCCTTGGGGCCAGCTGGGGCTTTGGGCCCTTGTTTGGCCCTGGGTAGGGACTGGTATTGTGCTGGTTAGGGCGTCAAGGTGTTGCACGACCTGCCACCTAAGCGGCGACCGGTTCCTGTTGCCTTTGGAAACGGTGTACTTTTGCGGGTTTTTTCTTTTGTTTTTATTTTCATTTGCCTGGTGGGGGTCTGCCCAGTGTGGCTATAGTTCCACTGGTAGTGTTTGGTGGCCCTCTGCTAGGCCCCCGTGATTGTACATGTCGCAGGGGTTTTCAGTGTTGTCCTCTACCCCCTTGTTATTTTTGGGTTTCTTAACCGGTTAGCAACAACTTGCCCGGGCTTCCCATAGTTGTTACCATACGGGCCCTGGAAACTCCTGTCGAGGCTCAGTGGACCATTGAATGTGTCTTCTGGGTTCCAAGTTGTCTTGTACGGGATTGCTGGTTGCTATGCCCTTGTCTCCGAGTGACAGTCGCCACTTTTACCTCCGTCATGTTGCCTGTTGGGTCACTGACACCTTGACCCAGAGTCTTGTGAGAGATATTCTCTGCTTGTTCTCCAGTACTCGCCTGATGTTATTACTGTTCAGAGTACAGGCGGCATCTGTGTTGCAAGCTAGGTTGCTGCAACACGCTAGGTTGGTTTCACACTCAAATGCCCCGGGGCTGCCCCATTTTGGTTAGGTGCTGTTCCCCCTTTCCCTCCCTGTTCCCAGCTCCAGGCCGTTTGCGGGTTTCGGGGTCGGGGCGGGGTTTAGTTGGGGCCGAGACTCGGGCGGTTTCGAGGGCTGCCCCGTTCGGGTTGGGGACGGAGGCTTTTGAGCCTGTTCCTCCTGCCAAGGCTTCTGGGTCTTACCAGCGGTCCTTTCTTGCTGCCTTTCCCATGGACTCTTGCTTTTCTTTAAGGGCGGAGGGCTTGGAGGATGGCTCTGCCCCTGGGCCTCTGTTGGGGTTCCTGGGGCTGTGGGGGATGCCTGCTAGCAGTAATGGGGCTATTTGCCTCTGCCTGGGGTTTCTGCTTCTAGGCTGAGTTTTTTGCCCATCCAATCTGCTTGCTTCCCACTTTTGCTGGCATGTTTTTGTATCTTTTGCGTCGGTCACAGCCCTCTATTCTGGTGGCCATTTTCTTCTGCCGGTTTCCCGGCGTTGCGGTTTGTTTACATGAGCCTGGGTATGCGCGCGAGCGTCTTGTGTGAGTTTTTCACCATTTTTCAGGGGTTTTATTCTCCTGTTGTCATTTCTTTGCTTTTCTGGTGTTTTCTGCCCGTTTTCTGTTCCTCTGGGAACGTGCAAGGCACTTGCGTACATTTTCCATGAGCAGCCAGCCTGCAACTGGCTTCATCTCCTCGCACTTCTGTTTGTGTCACTCCCATACTGCATTATCAACACTCCATTTTTGCTTTACTTACTACCTTTCTCTTTTGACTTGCCTTATCACTTTCACTTCTAGAGAAATAGTAAAAAATGATCAAAAACAGTACTTCTGCTAATGCCATGTTCAGCACACATGACGCTTCTCTGGACTCCACTCTCCACCTTCTTAATTATTTCAACTTCTCAAATGTCATTACTGACCTTTTTCTTTTATGTATCCCGCTTGTTGAACCTTTCACTGACACAATGAGTGCATTTGGAGCTGACATGGGGCACGGATGTTCCTAGATTTTGACGATATATCCAACAAAAGTCATAGAATGAACACTCCAGCCTCCTGACAAATCAAAACAATGGGCCATAAATCTATGACGTTACAGGGTAGAAGGCACTAGTTTTATTTAAACTGTGTTTGTACACTTCCATTTGAAACTGGAACTTTGTTTCCAGTTAGGAGTGTGTCTCTCCATGGTGGACATCAGCTCACAGTTCAGTGCATGGGTGAGTGGTAGTTTGGTTCATACTTCTATGCTCTTTTCTCTTACAGCTTTGTTTGCTGTCTTCTTTAGCCTTTTTGCTTATCCCTTACACTGCTCCAATCGTTATCTGCGATTTCCTCCTGTGTTTGAATTGCCATATGCAAATTTCCCCATTTGAGTTATGTAGGAATGCTTTCAAATAGGTGCACAGTTCAGGGGATAAGGGCAGTGGGGATGTTTAGAAGCTTCTTGTTCACTTTCACTTGGGTGATGTTTGTCAATGCTATTCCTGTGGCAGTCCATATACACAGCATTAAGACTGCTCTTTTGATAGTCTGGGTAAATGGGATTCTTTTGATAGGGTTATTCCTCTTCTGTCAATGAACAGCAGAAGGATCTGTATACAATTTTTTTTCTTGTAGTGTCATCTACTCAGTTCTACTTTCAATGGCTTCAAGGATGAAGTCTTACTGGTCATGTCATTCTTCTGTCTCCTCTGTGGCTGGTTATCATGTTACTTTGTCTTTCTCATTCATTTCCAATCACTACTTAAGTGATTGCTGTTCGATGTATAACTGCCATTTGTCTTGGTCTTACATCAGACAATCATGTGGGATTCCTCTGTGCTCTCAATCTCTATTGTTGTTCAGATGAAGAGCTCCTTTTGAAGCCCTCTCAGTAGATCCTCATTCCCTGCTTACCTGAGAGTTCAAGATGATTGCTCAAGGTACATGCTGGATTACACCTGACCCTTGGTAGACTAGTGATTCTAGTCAAAGATCCTCTAGTCAAGGTGACCCTCAAAGACCTGGACATAAACACCAATACTTGGGAGTTCTTTGCTCAGGAACGTCCAACTTGGAAAAGGGAAGTTATCACAGGGGCCTATACAGCAGAAAATAGATGAACTGCAGAGGCCCATATGGCATAAAATAGACGGACTGCAGAGGCCCAGAGGAAACTTGCTATGTGTAAAGCTAGAGCAACCTTCACCTTTGGAGTAGCACCCATGCACATGTGTCCCATGTGGGCGAGCCTTCCTGACCCAGATTGGTCTCTTCCTCCATCATCTGACACAGCCACTGACCTTTGACCTGATATATTGAGGTCGTGGTCATCTTCACATCCGAAAGACGATCATCATCAGTGGTTCTATCAGGAGGTGAGAGGAGAAAGCAGTGGAGTGCTTTTTGTTTATTGGAGAACAGTTCGTATCAAACATTTTCTGGAGAGTTCTGAGTTTTGTAACCCTTTTTTCATCATTTTTGTCATGTTTTTTTTCTCCTTGTGTAATGTTTGCCCTCAGCTTCCCCACCTCTGTAATAGGACAGGATTTTGGGCTGCCTCTGGTAGGACACAGAAAATGGCAGCGATGAAGTGAGATGGTATTGGTGCTGGGTTGCCAGTACATAATGTGTGTGGGTGCCACAAATTATACTTGATGCTATATTTTTCTTTTATTTTGTATAAATGTGAATATAATCAGGTGAATGTTTATCAGGTGAATATCTGGCATCATCGTCTTGTGATGGCAGCGTCCGAGTGTGGGATCTTAAAACAAAGTCGGTTGTTGTATCTTGGAACCTCTTGCCCAAGACTAACAATTTGTCTACCTCCAAAACATTATGCCGCTTAACATGGACACCTGATGGTCGGTATCTTATTGTCCCCGTTGAAAGCAAGGTTCACATGTACGATCGCACTTCATGGCAGGTGGTGCGGGAACTGAAGGATGACTCTATCAAGGAGGTAAGCTTTTTGATGTGTTCAAATGCATATCCTCTTAATTAGAATCATGAAAATAAATAATATTTCCTTTTATTACACAACCATCTTTTCTTCCTTGCCTCAGGCAGAAACCTCCCTTATCTCCCCCCCCCCCTCCCCCCACTTGAACAGAAACCGTATCACCCCCCTCCCCATCCCCCCACTTGCCTTGAGCAGAAGACTCCAATGTTTTTCCTATGAAATTGCAAGCAAAAATAAAACAATGCAATACAAGCAAAATATTTTACAATGATTGTATTCCAAAACTTGTAGCAAAGAATAATGATTGTTAGGAATGTATTATTTATTTGTCTTGCTGAATATTAAGTGTATGTAAGCTGTCTCCATGCCTTGCTGGCCAACCACTTAGGCTGGACAGTAGAGCGATGGTCTTGCTTCACGCAGGTCGGTGTTACATCCCAGACCGTCCAAGTGATTGGGCTTCATTCCTTTCCCTCCTGTCCCATCCCAAATCCTTACCCTTGCCCATCCCAAGTGCTATTTAATTGTAATGGCTCAGTGCTTTCTCCTGATAGTTGCCTTCCCTTACCTTTCATACCTTGCAGTTTTGTGGGCATAACCTGGCTGTTCCTGCTAGCCGTGCTCTACCCCTTTGTGTTTACACCACATGCTTTACATTTCTAGCATCATTACTTACTTATTTCCTTATGTGAAGGTTTCATTATGTACTGGTAATAATGCTAGAAATAAGATAAAAGGTAGACATTAATTTATATATAGAAATAGTGCATGTAATTATAACATTGTAAATAAAATAAATTTGATTAACTAGTAAGGGTAATATGCTAGTACCATTGTACGTAACTTTCTGTGAAGCTAGCCGCACATCTTAAAACTCACGTTAGGCATTCAAAATAAGTTGGTAAGATAGAGAAGGCAAACAGATGCGTTCAGAGAAGTGGACACACACACATCTGATGAAAAAATTGATCAAGAAGCTAAATAAGAACACGGCAGTTGGTGCAGATGTAGTTTCACCATGGGTTCTGAGAGAATGTGCACCTGAGCTCAGTATGTGTTTTCAACTCGTTTTTCAGGCATTCCCTGTATACTGGAGTGGTAGCAGATGTGTGGAAAAGGGTTAACAGAGTTCCAGTCTACAAAAGTGGCAGCAGGGAAGGTCCTTCTAAATTAAAGACCTGTATTATTGACAAGTGTAATAGTCAAAATATTGGAAACAATAATTAAAACTAAATGGGTAGAACACCTGAAGAAAAATTATATACACAGGCAGTATGGTTTTCGATCTGGAAGTTCCTGTATAACGAATTTACTCAGTTTCTTTGATCGAGCAATGGAGATTTTACAGGAAAGAGATGGTTGGGTTGACTGCATCTATCTGGACCTTAAAAAAAAAAAAAAAAAGCTTTCGACAGTCCCCCACATACAGTAAGAGGTTGTTCTGGAATCTGGAGCATATTTGAGGAGTGACAGATAGGCTTCTAACATGGATGAAAAATGAAGGCAGTAATCAGTGGCAATGTATTGGTCTGGAGAAATGTCACGAGAGAAGTACCGACCACAGGGTTCAGTTCTTGCACCGGTAATGTTCATTGTCTACATAAACGATCTATCAGATGGAATACAGACTTGTGAACATGTTTGCTGATGATGTTAAGATAATAGGGAAGATAAGAAACCTAAATGATTGTCACACCCTTCAAGAAGACCTGGACACAGTAAGTGTATGCAGCCCCACTTAGCCAATAGAATTTAATATGAATAAATGCCGTGTTATGGAATGTGGAATTTTAGTGAATTTTTACCAAGTAATATTGCGACAAGATACATTTATTGTGGACACTTTACTGACACTATTATCACAGTTCCCTGGAACATTTTGAACATTCTACTGTATATATATTGTAAAGGACACAAATATGCATCATATACGATAAAAAAACAAAACAAATAAAATTGCATTGGAAATACATAGAACAAATAATTGAAAATATATTTGTGGCAACACCCGGTGTTTGAATGGGCTGCGCAATCGTGTCTGGGCGAGTCACACACGGGCGACCAGGCCCTGATGACGTCACAGCGCACCTTGTCCACGTCTCCACAGCCAAAGCAAGTGGAATTTGGTATTTATTTTTACATAGACATGTTCAGGGAAGGGAATTTATCATTTTACGAAGAAAACAGAATTTTTTGGGAACACTTTATTTCATGCGCACAGGGAGAATTTCACAATTCTACCCTAAATGAGTCGAATATAAGGGAAGTTAAGTTGGAAGCCCCATTGGGAATGAGTGATCATAGTGTATTGAGCTTTGAGTACCTGGTTGAGCTGGGAATTATCACCCCCAAAAAAGAACTGGGAACCAAAGGGCTGGCGTACCGAAAGGGAAACTATGAGGAAATGAATAAATTCCTATGGGATATACATTGGGACACAGAACTCGGAACCAAGTCCGTACAAGACATGATGGACTATGTCACCCAAAAATGTCAAGAGGCTGTAAGCAGGTTTGTCCCAGCCCGACAGGAAAAAAACAGAGAAGCAAAGGAAGAATCCGTGGTTTAATAGGGAATGTATGAAAGCAAAGGAGCTGAACAAAAGGGCATGGAGGAACTTCTGTAATAACAGAACACCAGAAAGTAGAGAGAGATACCAGAGAACCAGGAACGAGTATGTCAGTGTGAGAAGAGCAGCTGAGAAAAGGTATGAAAATGATCTAGCTAATAAAGCAAAGACCGAACCAAAGCTACTACACAGTCACATCAGGAGGAAGACAACAGTGAAGGAACAGGTGATGAAACTTAGGGTGGGCGAGGACAGGTACACAGAGAATGACAAAGAGATGTGTGAAGAACTCAACAAAAAGTTCCAGGAGGTCTTTACAATAGAACAGGGAGATGTCACAGCGCTAGAAGAGGTGGCAGCAAACCAGGCGACCTTGGATAGGTTCGAAATTACAAGAGATGAGGTCAAGAAGCACCTATTGGAGCTGGATGTGAGAAAAGCTGTTGGGCCGGATGGAATCTCGCCATGGGTATTGAAAGAGTGTGCAGGAGCACTTTGCTTACCACTCTCCATAGTGTAAAGTAGGTCACTGGAAATGGGGGACCTACCAGAAATATGGAAGACTGCTAATGTAGTACCAATATACAAAAAGGGTGACAGACAAGAGGCACTGAATTACAGGCCAGTGTCCTTAACTTGTATACCATGCAAGGTGATGGGGAAGATTGTGAGAAAAACCTAGTAACACATCTGGAGAGAAGAGACTTCGTGACAACCCATCAACATGGGTTCAGGGAGGGTAAATCTTGCCTTACAGGCTTGATAGAATTCTACGATCAGGTGACAAAGATTAAACAAGAAAGAGAAGGGTGGGCGGACTGCATTTTTTTTTGGACTGTCGGAAAGCCTTTGACACAGTACCCCATTAAAGGTTGATGCATAAGCTGGAGAAACAGGCAGGAGTAACTGGTAGGGTGCTCCAGTGGTTAAGGGAGTACCTAAACAATAGGAAGCAGAGAGTTAGTGAGGGGTGAGACCTCAGACTGGCGTGAAGTCACCAGTGGAGTCCCACAGGGCTCTGTACTTGGACCTATCCTGTTTCTGATATACGTAAATGATCTCCCAGAGGGTATAGGCTCATTCCTCTCAATGTTTGCTGACGACGCCAAAATTATGAGAAGGATTAAGACAGAGGAGGACAGCTTGAGGCTTCAAGAAGACCTGGACAAGCTGCAGGAATGGTCGAACAAATGGCTGTTAGAGCAAGACACCCAAGCAAATGTAATGAAGATAGGGGTAGGAAGCAGGAGACCAGATACAAGGTACCATTTGGGAGATGAAATACTTCAAGAGTCAGAGAGAGAGCAAGACCTGGGGGTTGATATCACGCCAGACCTGTCCCCTGAAGCTCATATCAAGAGGATAACAGCAGCAGCATATGCCAGGTTGGCTAACATAAGAACGGCCTTTAGAAACTTGTGTAACGAATCTTTCAGAACATTATATACCACATATGTCAGATCAATCCTGGAGTATGCAGCTCCAGCATGGAGTTCGTATCTAGTCAAGCATAAGACTAAAGTGGAAAAGGTTCAAAGGTTTGCCACCAGACTAGTACCCGAGCTGAGAGGTATGAGCTACGAGGAGACACTACGGTAATTAAACCTTACTTCGTTGGAAGACAGAAGAGTTAGGGGGGACATGGTCACCACATTCAAGATTCTCAAGGGAATCGACAGGGTTGATAAAGACAGGCTGTTTAACACAAGGGGCACACGCACTAGGGGACACAGGTGGAAACTGAGTGCCCAAATGAGCCGCAGGGATATTAAAAAGAACTTTAGTGTCAAGAGTGGTTGACAAATGGAATGCATTAGGAAGCAATGTGGTGGAGGCTGACTCCATACACAGTTTCAAGTGTAGATATGATAGAGCCCAATAGGCTCAGGAACCTGTACACCTGTTGATTGACAGTTGAGAGGCGGGACCAAAGAGCCAGAGCTCAACCCCCGCAAACACAACTAGGCGAGTACAATAAACTCGGTGCAGCACAGTGGTTAAGAAGCACATTAACAAACTGGAAAAGATGCAAAGACATGCAACTAAATGGATCCCAGAACTGAAGGACAAGAGCTACAAGGAAAGGTTAGAGGCATTAAATATGCCAAAACTGGAAAATAGAAGAAAAAAGAGATACAGTAATATGATCACTATCTACAAAATAGTAACAGAAATCAATAAAATTTATGGGGGAAGAATTCCTAAGACCTGGAACTTAAAGAACAAGAGGTCATAGATTTAAACTAACGAAACAAAGCTGCCGATGAAATACAAGAAAAGTCACTTTCACAGACAGAGTGGTAGACGGTTTGAACAAGATAGGCGAGAAGGTGGTGGAGGCCAAAATCGTCAGGTAGTTCCAATCACTGTCATATGAGTGTAGCTCTCATCCTGTAACTACACTTACTTAATTACACACGAACGTATGTCAGGAGCCTAAGCCTCACGTGGCAGAGATTGATGGCAACCATTAGAGATATGTTTATTTTCTTGAGGAGAGTAGGACACTACATACAATATCTTCCATAGATCCTTAGATAAACTAGCCAACTTGGATAAAGACATGCGAGCTGAGATGGATGGAGGTACGCGAGATGAGATGGATGGAGGCACGCTGGCGGAGATGGATGGAGGCATGCGGGCCGAGGTGGATAAAAAAGCGATCTGATCACCACTTACAAAATAATAGCAGGAATCCACCAAATTGAAAAATGTATTTCTGAAACTGGCAACCTCAAGAACAAGAGGTCATAGATTCACGTTAAGGAAACAAAGGTACAGAAAAAAGATTAGAAAGTTTTCTTTTGCAAACAGTGTTAGATAGTTGGAACAAGTTAAGTGAGAAAGTGGAGTAACCATAAATTGTTTTGAGGTGTTATATAACAGTGTTGAGAAGACAGGACAACATAACTCTTATTCTGTAACTACACTTGGGTAATTAGTTTCAATCTGTAAGAATGGAAACAAGGAAGACTCACTAATACTAGGAAAAATTGAGTAGAAAACTAGATAGTTTTCTTGCAAGAAGTGCCGGATGAACTAGGCTGTGGTGGGTATGTGGACCTGCAGACTGCTCGAAGCAACAGCCTGGTGGACAAAGCTCACAAGTCAAGCCTGGTGGACAAAGCTCACAAGTCAAGCCTGGCCCCGAGTCGGGTTTGGGAAGTTGAACAATTCCCAGTACCCTATCTAGATATAAACTAAAACCAGTATCAATAACAATTGCAGTAGAAAAGCACCTGAAAAAATTATTAAAATCAAATGGACAAAGTACTATGCCAGAAAAGTAAAGACGTAATAACACACGCAGTTTGGGTTTCAAATGGGAAGTTCTTGTGTAACAAATGTTAGGTTTTACTATAGAGATACAGAAATATTTTAAGACTGGGAAGGTTGGGCTCATAGCATATACCTAGACTTGAAAAAAAAAGTCTGACAGAATTCCACACAAGATGCTGTTCTGGAAGTTAAAACACATTGGCAGACTAAAAGGCAGACTTCTAAATTGGATAAGGATTTTTTTTTTTTTTATGGACAAATATAAGTAGTGATCAGAGGAAATGCATCTGACTGGAGAAATGTCACTAGCAGAGTACCTTGCCTTGTGTTGGTTATGGCAATTAATGTCCCTATGGCCCGGTCTCTGGCCAGGCGTCTTGGTTGGTGGTCTGATTGATCAGGCTGTTAGACATTAGACATAGCTGCTCACAGTTCAACATATGAATTGACTGTTAACTGGCTGCACCCCAGTTAATAAGGTATTTTTTTAAGTGTTTATCAAGCTCTCTTTTGAACACCCAGAGAGGTTGGCTAGTAATAACCCTTATGTTTAGAGGGAGAGCATTGAAAAGTCCTTGGCCTGTAATGTTTATAGAATTGCTTCAATGGTCAATTGAATTGATCATAAACTGTTTCAATATTTTTATCAATTGAATTGATAAATTGATCATAAACTGAATACAAGTAGTTTTTACTATTATGTTTAGAAAAGATAGGTACAATAGGTGAGTGTGCTTGTATCATTGCTGTGCTTGCAATAAGTTATATTTTTGCTCATCATGTACATTGCATTTTTCAGACTGTGTCTGTGTGTGGGGTATCATCATGTGGACGATTCATTGCTGCTGCCTGCCTTGATGGTGTCGTGGTGGTGTGGAATGCCATCAGTTACCAGCTGATTACGGCCGAGAAACACCCAAAGTCGCTTGCAATATGTGGTCTGGCATGGAATCCTAGTGGGAAAAAGGAGCTAGCCTTTGTTGATATTGATGGGCAGCTTGGAACTGTGGAGAATATCATAGAGGGAGAAAACACCCCTGCAGTGGTGAGCCATTTTGGTCCTTGCTATATTCTATTTCTACTCATTTTTTTTTCCAATATTTTTGATGTTGAAAACATTCCAATGATGCCTCGACAAAACTTTAATCATTAGAGTACCCTATAAACGTATTTCAAGCTTAACATTATGTTGGTAGGGCATGTGATGATTGTGTGTGTTTACGAGTTTCTAGTACGCTGCCAATGTCAATCTAATAATGTGTGCTGTTAAGTCTGGTTTTATGTTCACTTTCTAGATCAACTTCCTCTGATGTGTGCAGCTGCCTTCATCTTAAAATGTACTGTCCTTCTAGCATACTTTCTTTCAAACTTTATTTGCTTACATTTATTCAGATTAAACTAGTAGCCGTAAGTTTGCTCAGACTTATAGCTTGTGTAGGTCTTCTTGCATTTTGTGCACTATTCATTCTGTACTCTTCTCATCAGCTTGGCAGCATTTGCAAACAGTACCTTGCAAAATTTAACTTGAAAGGTAATTTACCTAAACTGAGTATAGTGAGTATATGAGTATATATAAGTATACTGAGTATATATAAGTATACTGAGTATCTATAAACTGAGAGATATAAGGACTGACCTCTGTGGGGTGCTCTGAATGCTGTTTCCTTCCACCCCCTGACTTTGTCTCCCCCACACTATCCCCCACTTGTTGAAAGGGTATTGTTACTTAGTTTAGTATTTTCTTTATCCTAGTCTACATTTCTGTTTTATAATCCTATGGAGGGGGGGGAGTATGAAAAACCCTTTCATTTGTCTTATGATGATAAAGTCCACCCAACCTTCTCTTTTCTTAGGTTTCTTATGTTAGTCCACCCAGCCTTCTCTTTTCTTGGTTGTCTTATGATACAGTCCACCCAGCCTTCTCTTTTCTTGATTGTCTTATGTTACAGTCCACCCAGCCTTCTCTTTCCTTAGGTTTCTTATATTACAGTCCACCCAGCCTTCTCTTTTCTTGGAAAATCATCAAAGACTATCAGGTGTATTGGATATGATTTGCTGTGTGTGTGTGTTTTGTGTTACAAGTTTGTTTGCTACAGATACAAGATCCTCTTTCTGATTATTTTCTAAAATTACACATGATACATGTCAGTGGTATCATGATAATGGTCCAGGATGGACTGAAACTTTGTCGCTTCTCCATCTTCTGAGTTGTAATTATTTAAGTGTAGTTACAGGATGAGAGCTACGCTCAGTGTCCCGTCTTCCCAGCACTCTTTGTTGTATAACGCTTTGAAACTACTGATAGTTTGGCCTCCACCACCACCTCGCTTAACTTGTTCCAACCACCTACCACTCTGTTTGTGAAAGTAAATTTTCTTGTATTTCTTTGGCAGCTTTGTTTAGTTACCGGATAATTTAAATCTATGACTTTTGTTCTTGAAATTCCCGTTCTCAGGAATTCTTCCCTATCAATTTTATCGCGTCCCATTACGATTTTGTACATGGCGATCATATTGCCTAGTTTTCTTCAATCTTCTAGTTATGGGATATTTAATGCCTCTAACCTCTCCAAGTAACTCTTGTCCGTCAGTTCTGAGAGCCATTTAGTTGCATGTCTTTGCACCTTTTCTATGTTGTTGTTGTTCTTGAGATATGGGCCTGACAGCTGAGTGGACAGCGCTTCAGATTCGTAGTCCCGAGGTTCTGGGTTCGATCCCCGGTGGAGGCCGAAACAAATGGGCAGAGTTCCTTTCACCCTGATACCCCTGTTACCTAGCAGTAAATAGATACCTGGGAGTTACAGCTGCTACGGGCTACTTCCTGGGGGTGTGTAACAAAAAGGAGGCCTGGTCGAGGACAGGGACGCTAAGCCCCAAAATCATCTCAAGATGACCTTTCAACTGCTGCATATTCCAGCTTTGGTCTAACAAAAGTTGTGAACAATTTCATTAGTATTTTGCAATCCACGTATTTTAAAGAAATTCTGAAGTTAGAAAGTGTAGCATAGAATCTTGAGGTTATCTTGATAATTTTGGGGCTTTTTAGTGTTCCTGCAGCCCGGTCCTCGACCAGGCCTCCACCCCCAGGAAGCAGCCCGTGACAGCTGACTAACACCCAGGTACCTATTTTATTGCTAGGTAACAGGGGCATAGGGTTGAAGAAACTCTGCCCATTGTTTCTCGCCGTCGCCCAGGATCGAACCCAGACGACAGGATCACAAGTCCAGCGTGCTGTTCGCTCAGCCGAACGGTTCCCAGAATCCTTGCACGAAGTTCTTTATGTGGTCCTCATGTGAGTTTTCCATTTTTGGTCAACATGGTGGTGCCGGTCTGGTTCAGGGCCTCCGATCTCCTTGCTTGAATTAGTTCTCCTTTAGTGCATTTTTTTAAGATTTGAAGAAACTTGTAATTTCTTATTGTTCCGTTACCAAATTTAATGGTTTAAGTTTCGCACGGGCGCACTGCAGACTTTGACGTCATGCTCCCGGCGGTGCGGGTGAGCATGCAGCGACACCGAAATGTGTATACTCGTTTCAGTTTTCTCGCCTTAGTTCTCGTGCTACGTCGTTCGTTTTGGTATCATTGTGTTCGCAATTAAATTCCCTTCAGGTATATACAATGTCCAAAAGCCCGGCGTGACTCCACAGCAAAGCCTAAAGTTACCCGTGAACGAGAACCAATTTGCACACTGCGGCCTAATGTGTATACTCGTTCAGTTTGATAACATCAATTTTCGTCTCCAGTCTTTCATTCTGGTATCAAATTGTTCACAATATAAAGGCGTGTATTTTAACACTTATCAGTCATCGGGCAGGCGCGCAGTCAACTTAGGGGTCATGTACCGAGCATGCGGGTAAGCGCGCGGTGACACCTAAATGTGTGTACTCGTTTCAGCTTTCTCGCCTTAATTCTCGTGCTACGTCGCTCGTTTTGGTATCATTGTGTTCACAATTAAATTCCCTACAGGTGTGTATAAATATAATGTCCAAAAGCCTGGTGTGACTCGACAGCAAAGCCTAAAATCGGCAAAAGTTACCAGTGAGCGCACAAAATCAGTAAAATGTGCATACTCATTCCATTTTTCTCACCTTAATTCTCGTGCTACGTTGCTCGTTTTGGTATCATTGTGTTAGCAATTAAATTCCCTACAGATGTGTATGAATATAATGTACAAAAGTTTGGAGTGCCTCCCCGCAGAAAAGCCTAAAGTTACCCGTGAACGAGCACCAATTTGTACACTGCAACCTAATGTGTATACTCGTTTAGTTTGATAACATCAATTTTTGTGTTCGTCTTTCATTTTGGTATCAAATTGTTCGCAATAAAAAGGCGCGTATTTTAAAACTAGTCCCATAATAATAATAACACAATAAATAGAATTTTAACACATTTTAAAAAAAATTCCCAAAAATGTATTTATAATCTTTCAAGTATTCTGACATCAGGTTTCATGTTATATCTTTCATTTTGATATCAAATTGTGCACAATTTAAAGGCGTTCATTTTGAAACTATCCTAGTGTTGATCGGATAAAAAGTGAATTTTATACAAATATTTTGTTGGACACAAATGTCACGAGATAGGACTCGGCAGAAAAATTGGTAACGCATTGTGTGTCACGAGATAGGGAAAGTGTTAACTAACGTGCCTGATGCATCATAATGCTTTGCCTGGTCGGTTATCTGCCTAAGGCTTTGCATATTACAGTATTTGTATATACCATGTACAGGGGTACCTCGATTTAAGAGTTTAATCCGTTCCTGGAGACAGTTTGTAACCTGAAAACTCGTAAACCGAAGCTAATTTCTCCATAAATAATGGGAAATTAATTAATCCATTCCTGACTACCCAAAAACCTCACTTCAAACTAAATTTTATACCTAATTCATCGAAATCTACACTACAAAAGTATGTTCAAGTTATTACTTACCCTTGCTGATGACTGCTGTTGGCATATGGAAGATGGTGAGGAGGAGGGAGGAGGAGAGGTGTTACTGTTTGGAAGGGGGAGTCCCCTTCCATTATAACATCAGGCAGTGAGGACTTCTCTGGTGTGCACTCTGGCACGTTTTGCCTGCATACCACTAGGACCTGCTTGTGACTCGCTGCTTGCTTGTCTTACTAAGAATCTGTCTAAAGACACTTTTTTTCCCTACATTTTAACACTTGTCTGTAGTAAGACATCACATTGTCATTTAAAGGGTCAATGCAACGGCCTGCTACAGCTTTATCTGGGCGAGTTTTTTCAACAAACTTTGCAGTTCTTCCCATACTTCACACATTTTCTTAATGAGGAAGGGACATCCTCTACTCACAACTATTTTCTTAGGTTAAACCTCACCACTGACTTTCTTGGGACCCATTGCGAGATATATAATAACAACTTTTATGTTCATATGGCCAAACATCCAACAAAACACTGTAAATCCTGGTGAAGAATTGAGGCGGGATAGTCACTGGGCGCGAGGCACTGGTAAACTGAGCGGCGTACCACCACGCGCAAGTCGGCCTGTATGCGTATCAACACGCTTGTATCCTGAGGCAACCCTCGTATCCAGATACAAATTTTCCGAGCAAATCCTGCTCGTAACCCGAAAAACTCGTAACCAGGGGCTCTCGTAAGCCGAGGTACCACTGTACTGCATTAATGAGCACTATTTCTTGATGCCATTTTTATTGGATAATTTTCCTAGATATTGGAAAAGACCTCTTTCCTCATTAACACTTTCGTCCGGCAGCAACGCAGTTTGCGTCCATTAATAATCTTATGGATGTCAGGCGGGGATGTATGTTGCATCCGAAATTAAAATACGGGTTAGAATTCCATTTATTGGTCTGTTATGTTTTAAAAAGTTTTAAAATGCGCACCTTTGGATTGCGAACAATTAGATACCAAAATGAACGGCATAGCTCGAAAAGTGTGGTCAGAACACAGGAAAGAGTACATGTTAGTGTGGGTGCGCTCCTGGGGGAAATGCCAGGCCCACCTTGGAGTGGGTTGTGGTGCGGGAAAGTGTTCAGCTGTATATTTGATACTGTTAGTTTCCTTGGAATTTATTTGTGAACATGTATTGAAGTGTGAATGTCTATTCTATTCATTTTGACCTAATATAAAAGATAGGGTAAGTGAGAGGCATTTTGATCATGTTTGATCTCTATGCACCTTATGGTGGTTGCTTCTGCTGGTCTTATGAATATGACATGTATGGTTAACAATTTAAATGGTTAATATTTTACTGACAATGATTGTTGCTAGTGTGTGTGTGTGTTTTCACTTGATGACTTTGCCAGGTTAGTGGAGATGGTGCAAGTGAAGTGCAAAGTGGATTGCTCAATGGAGACGTCTTTCCACCATTGGAGATCGATATGGATGAGGACGATGAAGATTTCTCCATCTCAAAAATCAAATCTCGGCTGGGTTTTGCAGATGATGAGGAGGGCACCTTCCTTGGTCTTCCCAAGGAAAGTGCTTTGAAGGAAGAATTGGGTAAGTTCTTTTTAATTTTGAGCGCAGGTACTGACTGGGTGTGAGAGAGATTTTGCTACAATAAACTTAAATCCAAATACTGGCTAAATCCACCATACTGGCTAAGAAAAAGGTCATTGAGTGCTAAAGTGGCAAACTTTACTCATATCCTTCTTGAATGTGAACTAAACCAGCCTCTAGCCATTGTTGACAGGTCTAACTTGATCTGATAGTTCAAGACCTTGCTCCTCTCTCCCTTGTTGATACAGTTTATCAACTTTAAAGACTTTGAACGTGTCTCCCTTAGCCCTATGCCTCTCCAGGTAATGCAGTCTGAACTCCCTTAATCCCTGCACTGCACAAAACCAAGATATCTTGGGTGTCAGGTGGTGTGCCAACCTAGAAGCCACTTATTTTTGTGGGGGGGAGGGGGGATTCAAAACTCCTGCGGGGCTACACATGGCTCGCATCCTGTTCCTCGGGACTCCAGTAAACAAATACCATCTTGAAAAAAACATCTGCATCTCTCGTGACTGTGAAAGCCTTAGTACTGCTACACTGCAGTTTGTAAACAGATGGTAGATGGTTGGAACAAGTTAAGTGAGAAGGAGGTAGAGGCCAAAACCGTCAGTAATTTCAAAGCATTATATGACAGTGCTGGGGAGACAGGACACCACGAGCGTAGCTCTCATCCTGTAACTACACTTAGGTAGTTACTGCGACCATGGCTGGTGCATGCAGCAGCAGCTTGCAGCACAGCTGTGCAAGTCGGGGCCACAGCCCCACTTAATAATGAGGAATGAAATAAGTAACTGCAATTATTTTGTGAGGATAGTATCATGTGATCTTAACTAATAAAAACTAGGTACACGGTTCAAATATCAGTGAAGATAATGCTGGTTATGATGCTCACAGCAGGAGGCAGACATTCACAGCACACAGCCCAGGTTTGTTAATGTACGCATCATGCAATGTGACCTCATGAACAAATCCACAAGGGCCGTGACGAGGGTTCGAACCTGCGTCCGGGAGCATCCCAGACACTGCCTTAATCGACTGGGCTACATTTTCACGGCCCTTGTGGATTTGTTCATTTTATGCATCACGTTAGTGTGATCTCTGTGTGTAATGTGACCTCATGTTCCTTCAGAAAATATTCTTGTGAAAAATTATTCATACCACTACTTTGGTTACCTTGAGATGATTTCGGGGCTTAGCGTCCCTGCGGCCCAGTCCTCGCCCAGGCCTCCTTGTTGCTGGACTGGTCAACCAGGCTGTTGGATGTGGCGTTCCAGCAGTGTTCATATTCATAATTTAGTGACAAGAATGTGATGGTAATAGCAGTGTTGTGGCTAGACTTAGCGATGTACTTAGTACATGTTGCTGCATCGGGTGACTTGCAGCGTGTTGCTGCATCAGGTGACTTGCAGCGTGTTGCTGCATCGGGTGACTTGCAGCGTGTTGCTGCATCGGGTGACCTGCAGCGTGTTGCTGCATCGGGTGACTTGCAGCGTGTTGCTGCATCAGGTGACTTGCAGCGTGTTGCTGCATCAAGTGACTTGCAGCGTGTTGCTGCATCGGGTGACATTGTCTGCTGGCATCAGCTGGTTGTAGCGTGTGGCGCTCTACTTTATTTATTTATTTCTATACTTGAAGGTACATTGTGTTTATGAGAGAACATAGCATTGATGTTTAACTTGGTAATTTCTAGCCAAATTTAAAAAATGCTAACAGGTTCATTGTAAGAAAATTTTGAGAGATTAGTAAGTACATTAAAGTAAAATTTGAGGGGTTATCAACAGGTACATTATATCATAATTTGAGGATTATTTCAATGTATTATGCAGTAAAATATGCATTCAATATAAAACAAGGGTTCTAATTAAGCATCCATTCTTTTCCTTAATATTTACATTTAGCCTCCAGCCCTTACTGCTTCCTTTCTTTTCTAATGTGCTATTATCATTCATTTTTATTAATTTTCATTTCAAGTTGTCATAAAATTAAAACATATACAGGTATTATATATTTGTAGATTCCAAAGCCATAGATGACGACGCAGCAAGTGTCGTGACATCGAGAAGTGTGGCTCCAGCGGCCCCCGTATTGAATTTACCGGAGATACAAAAACCCTTCCATCCTGGCATGTCCCCCGAACACCTCAATGACAGATACATGGTTAGTTGCTTTTCTGCTTTCTCCAGACATTTTTGTTACTGTGATTTGTTGTTAGTTTTTCCATTTTAGGAGTATCATTTTATGCATTAATTATTTCTATATACACTAAGATGTCTTATTCACTGTAAGTATATATATGTATGGTCAGGTTGTGTGTGTCTGGTGTCTTCCATAGTGTCAGTGTGGGATACATGGTCAGGGTGTGTGTGTGTGGTGTCTTCCATAGTGTCAGTGTGGGATACATGGTCAGGTTGTGTGTGTCTGGTGTCTTCCATAGTGTCAGTGTGGGATACATGGTCAGGGTGTGTGTGTGGTGTCTTCCATAGTGTCAGTGTGGGATACATGGTCAGGGTGTGTGTCTGGTGTCTTCCATAGTGTCAGTGTGGGATACATGGTCAGGTTGTGTGTGTCTGGTGTCTTCCATAGTGTCAGTGTGGGATACATGGTCAGGGTGTGTGTCTGGTGTCTTCCATAGTGTCAGTGTGGGATACATGGTCAGGTTGTGTGTGTCTGGTGTCTTCCATAGTGTCAGTGTGGGATACACGGTCAGGGTGTGTGTGTCTGGTGTCTTCCATAGTGTCAGTGTGGGATACACAGTCAGGGTGTGTGTGTCTGGTGTCTTCCATAGTGTCAGTTTGGGTTACATGGTCAGGGTGTGTGTGTCTGGTGTCTTCCATAGTGTCAGTGTGGGATACATGGTCAGGGTGTGTGTGTCTGGTGTCTTCCATAGTGTCAGTGTGGGATACATGGTCAGGTTGTGTGTCTGGTGTCTTCCATAGTGTCAGTGTGGGATACACGGTCAGGGTGTGTGTCTGGTGTCTTCCATAGTGTCAGTGTGGGATACATGGTCAGGTTGTGTGTGTCTGGTGTCTTCCATAGTGTCAGTGTGGGATACATGGTCAGGGTGTGTGTGTCTGGTGTCTTCCATAGTGTCAGTGTGGGATACATGGTCAGGTTGTGTGTCTGGTGTCTTCCATAGTGTCAGTGTGGGATACACGGTCAGGGTGTGTGTCTGGTGTCTTCCATAGTGTCAGTGTGGGATACATGGTCAGGTTGTGTGTGTCTGGTGTCTTCCATAGTGTCAGTGTGGGATACATGGTCAGGGTGTGTGTCTGGTGTCTTCCATAGTGTCAGTGTGGGATCAGAATTAGTAGCTTGATTCTTAACAATTTACTCAAATCCTTGAAATTCTAGCCGAACTGAACAGGTATACAGCTGTGTAAATATAACCTTAATATCAGATGTAAATTGAATAACATTTGGCTTACAGTTGGAGTGTTGATAGGTAAGCAGATGGTACAGGAGGGGTCTTCTCATATCATGTGTGTGTGATGCACGCTCCCACATACTACATAAGGGGTACTAAAGGGAAAGTTTGTATCACTTATAAATTGGCTCTACTAATTTACAAGTTAAAATCACAGAAACCCTATTTAAAGGTAAACTTGACATTTTAGTAGATACGTGTGTAATGTACAATTATGTGACAAATCTTGTGGACTGTACACCCTGGCTTTTGAAGTGGTGGGTAAGTGCAAGAATGAATTATTGCTTTTATATCTGTTCTGCTGTATAATGTGTATAATATAGTAAATGAGTGAGTGGTATTTTTCAAGATTTATGATCTATTTCAATTGATTCCATTTTTGTTCTTCCAGCTGATGAGAAAATATTAATAGAAAAATGAGTATACTGTACTGTTCTAGTGAAATTAAGTATGTCTAAATATGGTCCACAGGTCCATGACATTGATTATAAATCCATATAAATAACAATGTAAATGTTTGTTCAAAATCCGCTAATCTCCGAAAGGTCTTCACCGATTGCTTTGACATTTTCACACATTCCATTTGCATCTGAGCGGGTCACTGTTGGGAGCCCCTACGGCTCTATGGAGCTTATCGGGCTAATGTATGTTATATTTGACCGGGACATTAGCTAAGGAGTTCAGACCTACCAGGGACCAGCGCCAGAACCTGGTTTCAAAACTTTTTCAAAACTCGGTGTCCGAACCCAAAGGTTTTCCTGCGGCTCCGCCTCTTCCAGCAGATTGGACAGGTATGTCACTTGGATGGTTCGATCCTCTCGTCGAGTCTTCACATATGGTATTTTTGACTCGAGTTCATCAATTACCTCTATGGTGATCAGGTGGCTTCCTTATTAGTGTCCCATCTGCAGGCTTCGTCTCGGTATGTATGAAGTTTCCTGGCGGTCCTTCCGGTTCTTCTTACGTCTTCATCGTTGTACGTTGGTTTCTGTTAGGGTGGTGTTGTCCTTTCTCTCTCGGTTGTTTCGGGACCGTCTCGTTATGCCTAGCACTGTGCTCTTTTCTTTCTTCTCCTTATTTTGTTGTGGCCCCTTCGGTTCCGGATTGTTTTTCGAAGGCTCTTTTTCCTGTTTGGGGTCAACGTGACACATGAGTATGACAAGGTATGTATGAGTATATTTACTCATGACAAGGTCATGAGTAAACTTTATTTCGTGGTCAGTGGTGTTGGTTCTCCACTGCCTTCTTAATCCTCTTCATCTTCGTCGACCTCACCAGTAACAGACTGGAGAATCTTGTTTTCACTTATCACTCCATATCCTGGGTCATTGGCATCTTTTTCAAGACAATCAACCACATCCTGTCTTTCTAAGTTTTCCCCGGCATTTCTGAACATTCCATGGATTTCATCTGTAAATCCTTCAAAATTCATTTCTTCATCCTCCTCATTGCTGACCGTAGACGTAGACTCCACACCTTGGCCCAGTTATAGATGGCTTCCTTAATTGCATAGTTCTTCAAATTCTCAAGTTTTTTTTTGTTAGCCCTGTTATCCACACTGAGTTCAACATCTTCAGGAAGAGTCAAAACCACCAAAACTTCGTTGAGCATCTTTTTTCGTGTACAACCTCTTTGTGGCACAGATAATTCCTTGATCCATAGGCTGGATGAGAGGTTGTATTAGGAGGAAGTGCCATACACGTTATCTTGCAATCATGTGAGGTTAACGTGTCAATTCTGGGGATGGGCAGGCGCATTATCAAGCAGCATCAAAGCCCGAACTTCGCTTGGCCTCACTTTGAATTCCTTAACTTGATGGTCATGAACTTCCCTGCAGAACACATGAAACCAGGAAAGAAAGATCTGTGTAAACCATGCATTTTGTGAGTTATAATATTTCACTGGCAGTCTGTCCAAGCAATGTTGTAAGGCTCTTGATTTCTTTGATTTGCCAACAATTGCACACGTGATTTTGTCTGTGCCGTTGGCATTTGCACACATCATGGCTGAAAGCCTGTCCTTGTTAACCTTACGGCCTGGCACACAACCCTCACTCCTCATAGCTAGAGTTTTTTCCTGGTAAACTCCTCCAATACAGCCCAGTTTCATCTGCATTATAAATTTGATAAGAATATAAATTATTTAACAAATGTATGTTCCTAATTTATATTTAAATGGTTCTACTCTGCTTTCATCTGCACTCAATTTTTCACTGACAATTTTCCTCTTTACAATATTGTTCCTCCCTTTGAACTTTGCAACCCACCCTTCACTGGCTTGGAAGTCCTTTATTCCAAGGCTTGCTGCAAACATGCTAGCAGCATTTTGTATTTCTGGGCCGCAAATTGGCACGCCAGCTATGCGGTGCTGAGCAAACCATTTGTACACATCCTCATCCAACTGTACATGTGTCGAAGTTTTCAAAATTTTTCTACCACACCCTCTGCTAGTGCTTGCACATTCACTCTCACTGGTTGAAATGTATTTCAGATATTTCTCTTATTGCTTCCTTTTATCAGAAACAGTACTAGTGCCTATATTAAATTCCTTGGCAACACTTCGACAACACTTCCTTAACAACAAGTCGACCGGCCATTTTCACAAAGCTGTATAACACATAACTTGTCCTTAACCCCTTAACTGTGCGGCCTCCAAATATGACACCCTCCAGTGTGCAGGAAATAAAATCTCTGGAAAAATATTTCGGTTTTGAAAGTGTCAAAAACCCTTCCCTGAGTATGGGTATAGTAACAGAAGGTTGAAATTGTATGTTCCTCCACATTCCCCTTATCCCCCCCCAGGTGGTCCCTCCCAATGCTCCCCTCTCTCCCGACACCACCCACCCACCCCACCCCACCCCACCCCTCTCCATGCACCTCGAGCCACAGCCGTACGGGATTAAAACGGTACGCCCGCCGCATGGCTTTCGTATCCGGACAATTCATTGATTGTCCAGATGACTGTCCGGATAGTGTAACATTAGCAGCAAGTTAACACTTTGGCGTACCCCGCGCGCCACCCCTCAACTGTGCGATTTTGGTCCCAGGGTTTCACAGAAGCGCGCGTAAATTCTGAAAACTATACTCTTCAACTTTGTCACCTTAATTCTCGTCCTACGAGATTAAATTTCGTATCATTGTGTTCGAAATAGAATTCTCTACAGCACTAAATGCATATAAACTCCAAAAACCCGGCTAATTACTCGCAGCAAACAGAGAAAGTGCGAAAGAGTTACCCAGGAGCACGCAAACGCGATAAAATGTTATCACTATTTTCACTCTGGTCACCTCAATTTTTGTCCTAGGTCTTTCATTTTGGTATCAATGAGTTCGCAATAGAATTCTCTAGAGGAACATTAGCATATAAAATAAAAAACAAAAAACCTGGTCACGCTCCAACCGCCGCCAAGTTGAAGACGGGCCACGCGTTAGCCGTGAGTGAGCGCTCAGATGCCTTCCAGCTACACTCCCAATTCCCGCCCTTTTCACGCTTTTCTTTCGCAATTTTCTTCCTGGAAGGGCCTTGTTCATGATCACTATCCATCGTGGAGTAAGCGTAGATAGTTTCTAAAGCCGCAGTAAGAAATATAACCATGGAAAATAGCCGAAATGTTCACACGTTTGAGATGCGAGGGGAGGCGACACCGGTCACAACAGTGGAGCGAAAACAATGGGCTGACGGTGTGTGCCGAGCCGCCTGCGGGCCACGAGGCGCAACAAAGAAAATGGGAAGACATCGGCGCGCATTTTAAAACCAGTCCCCCAAAAATTGGATAAAAACCTGATTTTTGGCGATTATTTAAAGTGGATGATGCAATGCTGCGTCATGCCCGTCATTACCGACAGTAAACGGATGACGCAATGCTGCGTCATGCCCGGGCGAAAGTGTTAACCGGCTCCAATTTTTTATCTGGCCAAACCGGCTTTTATCTGGCTCTCGTGGACATTTTGGCCGGATAGTGAGAACTTTATCCGGTCACGATTTTAGGCGGATAAGAGCGTTTTCTGGATGGTCGAATCTCGGATAATTGAGTGTCTTCAGTATAGTTTATTATTTTATTGATGTTTTCATTTCGTTTTCTTAACTTTTTCTTATATATCAGTGATGGGAACGTCAGATCATTTGACGTTTCCAATTTTCTGATGGGAACATCAGATCATTTGAGAATGCATCAGACAAGGGAGAGGGGAATGGTGGGAAGGACGTGGGAGTGGGGGATGATGAGGTGGACGAGAGGATGGGGGAATTGTAGGGAGGACGATGGGACGGGGAGTGGGGGATGAGGGGCTTGTGGAGTGGGGGGGAATGGTTTGGAGGACAAGGGGATGCTAGAGTAGGGGATGGTGGGGGAGGGCAAAGGGACAGGGGAGGGAGGGGATGTGGGAGAGGGAAATGGCGGGGATGACTGGGCGACAGGGGATGGATGCTGTGGCTCGGCAACGCACATGCATTGTTGAGCCACAGCAACGCGTGGCCGGGTACAGCTAGTACAGTAATAAACAAAAAAGCCTAAAAAAAATTGAATTGACTTTTCAAAATAGGTTGTGAATAAATGTTGAACAATTTGGGACTGCAAATGACTTTGAGTATAACTGTTTGGTACTCAAATTTTAACAAGAAATCATGTGCAAATATAGCATAGAGTAGGGAACCAATTGAATGTTATGATAATTGTTAAAACAGGGAATTCCTAAATAATTGTATGGCTATCAGAGACAATGTGGACAGAATGTAGTTTAAATGTGTTCTTGTATTCGAAGCGTTGCTTGCATTAGCTCAATGATGGGATTGTTCCTGTTGCCTTGGACTTTCCAGGCTTCATCCTGGAAATGCGGACTGGAAAGGCTTTCACTAATGGCTTCACTATGTCGACCAGCATCGGCAGATATCTCGTAAAACTTGAATTGTGGTACAGATGGTGCCTTCCAAACTCCATGCAAGTCTGGTAGTACTTCTGGTTGAGATGCTCTTTTTTCATGCTTATCATGCTGGAAAATAAAGGAGAATGCTAGTAGAGCAGTGGAGAACTTTGCAAAACTTCAGACACCCAATCCACGCACCTGAAAATATGGGAAGTGATGACGTTTGTCCGTTCTAGACCATTATCATGTTGAATTGATAATGGCCTAAGACGGACCAAAATATCATTGCTAGTACTTTATTTTCAGATGGGTAGGTTTGGTGTCCAATTTTCAGCCATGCTATTGTGACTACTATGTGCAAAAAAAACTTTTATAAGTGTGATCACTACCATTTACTTACTGTGAGTAAATGTGTTGGCCTCTGGGCAACCAACCCTCCTCCTCCCTGTAGGGCTGGTTTATGTTGATGTTATTGTTCAAATTTGTGTGATTGGGACTATGAGTGACTGATGGCTCATTGGTAGTTTGAGCACTTTCGGTAAAATGAGCTTGTAAATAATGCCTGTGTATAATAATGAAGGTAGTACAGCAGTGTGTTTCTGTAGGTCTTATTATTGCATTTTGTTTGTTATGCCTATGAAAAATTTGTTTTGTGTATGAAATGTGTGTAAAATGTGGAGTACAGTATGTGATATGGTTCAGTTGTGGAACAATGTGGGCATCGTGCGTCAATACTCGAGTGAGGACGAAAACAGCATAGACGTAGAGTTCCACGACACCTCGGTGCATCATGCCCTTCATCTCAACAACAGTGCTGGGCACACCATGGCAGCCCTGTCCACACAAGCACTGGCCTTGGCTTGCGAGGCAAATGAAGACCAACCCAGGTATGGCATTATTCCGCATGTTATATTTGGCGATTGAACTTAGGAATGGAGATTGTAGATAGTTAAAACAGAAGGATTTAGAAAAGTTCCAGCTGTAAATTTTGCCACTCGGTGGTCACTTACCTTTAGAAATTTAATTAAATATGTGCCTGATCATTTTAAGACGTTATGTAATACGGTTGTCTGAAGTCTATTGTAGAAAGTATTAGTATAAAAGTATAATATTGAAGTATTATAGAAAGGTAAATAAAAATAGTTGAAAAGTATAGTTTGTGGACAAGCTCTGACTAATTTACAGAAGGCAGGTTGCGTGACAAGCCTGTTGCAGTGTTACTGTGGGTGGTCACAGCTGTGGGTAATAGTGGGACATAGGACGGGAGTTAGGCCAGAGGTGCAAGGTGCACCCCAGGTTCAAAGAAACCTTTTGACAGTGTCTATAAATGTTATTTTGTATAGTTTGAGTAATTTTTGTATTTTCTTTTTGATAAGACTGACTAAACTTCATATGACATGCTATTTTTGGGAGAAGGTTGAAACCCCAATCAAATCAATCAACCCCACAGTCTTGATTCTAATTTATGTAATTCTGAAAATAAGCATAAGGTTTATATAGAATGGAGTCTATTGGTTCATGACGAAATATGCGTTTGATGAGTATAGAGTTGTCTTGCCTGTGGTCTGACTCACCTTCCACCACCTCTCATGCTTGGTTAATCTTAGAATGTGATCACTAGAATGACACAGTCTGTAAATTCTAAGCTAAAGAATGGTTCCATTAGAAGTCATGATACAATGATTGATCATGTCTCTCACCTGGGACCAACAGTGAAACATGCCTCTCACCATGTTGGGTCAGATGCTGCAAACGTAATAATGTTTATTTAATGGGTCATTTTCTTTTTCAAAGACTGAAATTTAATTCAGTTTAATAGTTACAGTAAAAGTAATTGTCTAATAAATGTATTAAAACTTCATGGGTTATTACTATGGGTAGAGAATATCTTGTGTACAGTAATTTATACTTTGCCTGGGATTGTTGGGAAGCTCTCTTGTAATTGTTTGATGCAGCAGTTGTCTTGGTGCGGTGAAGGCATGGCTTCACATAGAAAACATCTTGAGGATGTGTGGAAGGTAACCCGGGATTCCTTGACCTCTCTTGCTTGTGATTAATCTTTAGTAATCTGAGACCTCTGACTCCTCCTAGGATTAATAACTTTTGTAAATTATGCCTTGATAAATTGCTGAGGTTATATATTTTACTCAGTAAATTGGTAGTGCACCACTTCTCGGCCTGGGGCTCAAACAAGGAGTGGTACGTTGATATGCCAGAGGAAGAAGATATTCTTGCCGTGTGCCTTGGGTCTGGATGGGTTGCTGTTGCGACAGATCGCCGGAACCTTCGCATCTTCTCCACTTCTGGCATACAGAGGGACATCATCAATATTCCAGGACCAGTTGTGTGTTTAGCTGGATTTGAAGATCAGATAATAATTGTTTTCCACAGTGGCATAGGTAAGACTACTCAGTGTAAAAACTTGACAACTGAATAGGTATTGAGGCTGAACAATGAAATAAAATCTGTTTGTGATCATCTCTAGCATGTGCACTATTGACTTTACCATGATGGGATTGTGGTACCAGATAGTGCCATCCAAACTCACTGCAAGTCTAGCAGCATGTCTGTTTGAGATACTTCTAACCCTGTCGTGGTCCAGTTGGTGGTGCGTGTGCCAGAGGTGATCGGGAGTATGGGTTCCATTCCATTGTACAGCTTGAAAATTTATTCATAGATTTATTACGTTATTGTGATTTGCATTGTGCCTAACTGATTCAGAACATAATACTAATCTTTTTAATGTTTTCCTAACTAATACAAATATTTAAGTATTTAATCCTTAGGTAGCAGACATTGTCAATTGTTGATTCAAATGGTAATGCGGTTATCATCATACGAAGATTTACAAAATTATTGTCTGGGGTTTTCCATGTATGATATAGATATACTAGCTCTGTGGATGTAAATCAAGAAAAAGACGTGATAACATAATCAGTGAAGCATGCGAGGATAAAACGTGACACATGAGCAAAGTGGAGCACCAGGTGTTGACACGTGCCAAACACAGACGCAGCCTTGCACAGCACCTCCACACACTGAAACTATAAATATTCACTTATTTTTGTTTTTCTTATGTTTTGCATACAAATTAATAATTCTTTAATGAAATATTATTTTTTGGAATTTTTCTATTATGCATAGGCAGGTATGACTATTTCTCCATAGCCTATGTTTAAGGAATAAGTATAAGTGCATAAATGACAGTTTAAATTTATTGCAAAGATATACAGGGGGTACCTCGGTTTAAGAGTATTCCTGGAGACAGCTCGTAATCCGAAAACTCGTAAACCGAAGCTAATTTCCCCATAAGAAATAATGGGAAATAAATTAATCCATTCCTGACTACCCAAAAACCTCACTTCAAACTAAATTTTATACCTAATTCATCTAAATCTACACTACAAAAGTATGTTCAACTTATTACTGTGAAGGGTGAAGTGGAATGCTGAGCTCAGATGCACATTCTTTCAGAACCCATGGTGAATCTCCATCTGGGCCAACTGCTTTGTTCTTACTTGGCTCCTTGAGCATTTTTTCCACTTCGTCTCTAGACACCTCTATGTGCTCTATGTTGTTCTCTGGAATTCTTATTGTCTGGTTCTCTGAAGATTTCATTTTGTACAAACACACTTTAGAACTTTTCATTTAATGTTTCACACATTTCCTTTTCATTTTCTGTGAATCTGTTTCCCAGTTTCAACCTCTGGATATTATCATTTTCCTGCAATTTGTTGTTTATGAATTTGTAGAATTTGTAGGCCCTGTTCTGTTTTACATTTATCCGCTATCCCTTTTTCAAAATCTCTCTCTGCCTCCTTACTGCTGTATAGTTGTTTCTTACATCTTTGTTTTCCTGGTATATTTGGGGGTTTGGCCTCTTCCTATATTGATTCCATTTTTGTGTCTTTTGGTCTCTGGCCCTCTCGCAATTTCTGTTAAACCAATCCAATTTTCTGGACCCTGCATCTCTGTTTTGGTAATTACTTAAGTAATTCTTTGATTCTCTTTCTCTTTTACAACTTGGGCATATGTCTCTTTTATTTCTTCTTTATACTTTTCTAGTTCTTTATTAACCACCTCCATGTGAGTTGTCAGTGAAGTTTCCAGTTGGAGATCCTTGCTTAACTCTGTGTTAGCCCTCAGGCTCCCTTGGTGTTAATGTTTGTGCCTTCATCGTATATTTTGCAAAATTTGGCATACGTATAATTTACTTCCCTGCCTAACAAGAAGTCTGTTCAATTACTCATTAAATTTTTTTTGAAGTTCCCCATAGTGACCTCTCTTGAAATCGAGTTTATCAACTGTTTCAATGTCCCCATTTTCTTCTAATGATATCTTAAAGCATATTTAATGTCTAACAGGATGTGATCACTCTTTCCCAAGGGAGGAAGGTACTGGATGTCAAAAATCTCTTCTTCTTTCCTGATGAATACTAGATTTGTGGCCTGCTTGATGTGTTGATAAAAGAATGTCTCCAGAATGAGGTTCACAAATCTGCATGTCCAAAAGTCCTCCGTTCTTACTTCATTGGCCTCCCAGTCTGTTGCTTTAAAGTTGAAGTCTCTCAGTATCAACAGTAGTGATTTATTTTCATCTGCTTGTTGAATAATCTCTCTGATGACCATTATGAGGCTCTCTCGTTTGTCATTCAGTTCTTCCTTTGTCCATGTGTTGCTTGCTGGTGGGCTGTAGGCATTTAAAATTATCAGCTTATCATCCTGATTCCAGACCTGCAATGTCATCATGTCAATATCTCAAGGTTTCAAATATTAACTCTCTTACCTTCAGGTGTTCTTTCACCAGCACAGCCACTCCTCCTCCCTTCCTAGTTTTCCTGTCACGTCTCCCAACTGAATAGCTCCTTGGGAATACGACTTCATTTAATATATTTCCTTCAAGTTTCGTCTCTGATAATGTGACAATATCTGGGACCATGAGCTGAATTATATCTTGTAACTCCAAAGTTTTGACCTCACTCTGTCTATATTGGTAAATACAATTTTCAGAAACATGTTCCTTTTCCCTTTGCTCTTTACTCCCTCTTCCTCTAATGATTTTGTTGCCTTGTTTTTATGTACCGTTTCACAAGCTTTCCAGTCCGATACTTTGTAGAAAAAATTTTCTTCATTTCTATCTCTATTTAGACATTTTGCTTCAATTAGGTTCATTTTCAGATTTTCTGTCTTCCTTTGAGAGGTCTTGTGTTATTGACCAAAGTTTGCCAACCTCATCACTGTTATTTCCTGGCATTTTTAAGCACTTCGATCATGTTTTTCATTCCATTAAACGTCACCTCTAAAGGGCGGTTCTTGTCTTTCTCATATTTTCTTATTCTTCTAAAATCACTGACATTTTCCTTAGAGCCTTCTAAACCTGCTATTTTCTCTGATTTTCATCTCTTCTGCGGCTCGGTCCACCCTAGATGAAATTTCATTCTCTAATCATCCAAAAATTATTATGGACTTACTTCTATCTACAGTGTTTTGTACTAGTTAACTGTTGGTAACCAGTTCTTTCCTAATTGCTTGCCTAATTTCTGCTTCTTATTGGTCGTTTCTGGTTTTGACTTCAGACTTTTGTGTGTGTGTGAAATCACAAGGCTACATTGATTTTGGTAGAACATGTGTTGTGTGCACTGCTCTAAATATGAAGCATGGTGAAGCACTGGTTGGGACTGACCACAAGTCACTCAAGTTTCAGCTGAGAGGGATGCAATTCAACATATTGTGTGTCACAGTGGGTTCCAGGTTTTTGAGTACGGTATTAGAAAATAGGGCCGTGAGTGCAAAACATGGGTTGGGAACAACTAGTTTAGAGGAGTTTGTTACACGGAGGTTAAGATTTTCAAGGAAGCACTGTACTTGTCTTGAGGCATGAAAAGCAGTGGCCTGGTGAAATAGTTGAGAGGTGCAACCTCAACTTATTTTTCAGAGTACTGTTTTTCAGTTTAAGAATTGCAAAACTATTCATTGGAAATAGTTTTGTGGCTTTACAAATTTTAAGGGTGGTTTGCTTCAGTGGTGGGTTGAGTCATTCAAGGGGGGGGTGCATGTCACTTGCAATTGGTATTTGCTTCCATTAGGTGAACATTATTAGAGAAGCCATGCATAGGCAATATTGCCCTAGGGTTCTTTTGCCATTATGCATAAAGAGCATCAGACATTGTGTGTAATCTTTAGCATGTTGATGTAAGCTTAGTACTGTTTGGAGGGAAAATTTTCAGTATCCAAAAAAATAATCCTGTGCCTGGCTGGTTTTTTTCCAAATGTTTAATTTTGAGATGTTAAGGTGTGGCTTTACTCTGAATGTAATAACATGAATTTATATTTAAAATTGCTTATGGTGTAGTTTACTATTCCAATAGGAGTATCCGGAGACCAACATATGGAAAGCATTGTGCTGAGTGTGAGTGGCGGTCGTCACGCCGTCCCATTGGCATGTCCCGTTCCTCTCTCCCCTCGGTCATTTCTGGCTTGGGCAGGGTTTTCAGATGAAGGAACTCCAGTGATTATGGACAGTGCTGGGATAGTGCACATCATGCATTTCAAGTATGGATATAATTGGACAAGTATTCTCAACACTAAGAAGCATGTGAGTACTGTAGCACTTGTTTAGGCATTACCAGATTGATGACATCTTCAATGAGGAAAAAAAGAGATGTACAACTTGTGAATATAAAAAGGGAACTGACGACTGAGATGTAAATAATGATGAAAGTAAATTTGGAAAAAGGTGCCAGAAATTTTTTTGCAACTTATAAAGAATTTGCTTTGAAGTTGGGCACAAGTGTGAATATCTGTTAATATTAGAGGTAGTGGTGCTGCTGATTTCACTAATTAACTACATTCAATTCCAACAGACGCGTGGAAAAAGTGACCACTACTTCCTGCTGGGAGCGAGTGAAACACAAGGAAATGTACGATGTATACTATGCAAGGGTAACCGTTATCCTCCAGTTCTGCCCAAGCCGCACGTGTCCCTTCTTAACATGCAGGTATTGTAAGTTGTGATCGTTAGTTAGCATTTTGTATCATATAGTGTATTAAAAATTTATTTTAGCGGTTGTGGTGACATCATGTTTGTTTCCTGGTTTTTGATTAGGGAATTCTGTTTGCTTTTTCATCTTTCGGTTTGCAATTTTTTGACCAACAGTAGTTTTTGAAATTCCTACCTTTCTGGGTGCCTGACCTGGTAGATGGCAGACAAAGACTGCTTCCAATTGCACGGGGGTGTCTTTAGGCCATTGCTCCTCGTGCCTCTCTTGAGGGGGCCAGGTTCTGGCTCTGGTCCCCGGTAGACATAGAACTCCTTCGATTGACTGTTGCCACGATCTAATGTATACACATCAGCCCGGTATAGCTCCGGGGAGTCGAAGTGGCTCTCCACAGACCGAGGCGTTGACAGAGCATGTGTCCGAGGCAGTCTGCTCTGCCACAGCTGTCGTGTGGGAGTTGCCACAAAGATATTGCCTAATTATTTCAATGTGTGATTTTTCTTATTTTTTTTTTTTTTTTTTTTTTTTTTTTTTTTTTTTTTTTTTTTTTTTTTTTTTTTTTTTTGCAGTAATATTATTCAATAGCATGTAGTGTGATATATATTTATATAATAAAATGTGTGAACCATCGCTATCTTCAAAATTATGGTGTACATATTAGTGATTCAATTATTATGTTCATAAAACAATAAACAAATAGTTTTGCCGTTATTACGCTACATACACAGGTTATATATAAGTATCTACAAGTTTTATTCACCATACCTGTACAAATAAGCTGGTATGGTGCCCAAAGACCATAGTGGCCACCAGTACACAACATGACAAGTCATGCAGACGACGCACCTCCTCACCAAATTGGCAGTTTCCAACATACTCCTATTGTTGTTATTACACTCTATACACAGTTATATACAAGTACAATGGGGCCTCGACTTACGATGCTAATCCGTTCATAGAGACGGATCGTAAGTCGAAGCGATTTTTCCCATAAGAAATAAAGGGATTTGAATTAATCCGTTCCCCACCCTCCAAAATATTAACATACAAATACATTTTATACTGAATACAATGTTTGTTTCTAACTACAATACAGAACATAAATTTCACTTGCCTTTATGGAGGGCTCTTGATGGTGTATGGAAGATGGTGATGAGGGGGGAGGAGAAGAGTTGTTACTGTTTGAAAGGAGAGTCCCCTTCCATTATCACATCAGGCAGTGATGTTTTCTCTGGGGTACTGTCTCTCCTACGTTTTGCCTGAACACCACTAGGACCTGGTTGTGGTTCAGTGCTTGTTTGTCTCACTACAAATTTGTTAAGAGACATTTGTTTTTCCCTTCGTTTTAACATTTGTCTGTAATGATGCACCATTCTAGCACCCATAATGTCCTTTTTCTTAGCCAGTATGGTGGATATTGTTGACTGAGATTTGTTGTACTGCCTAGCCAGTTCACCTACCTGCACACCGTCTTCATATTTATGAATGATCTCTTGTTTCTGCTCTGTGGTCATCCTTACATGGGATCTCTTATGTTGAGCCTTACCACTGACTTTCCTGGGACTCATGGCGTGATATATAATAATTACTTTAATGTTCAAAATGCAAAAAATCACCACAAAAGCGAAATTTCTTATAGGCGTGATCGTCACTAAGCAGGCAGCTGTAGTAAACAGAGCAGGTCAGCCGCGCTCGGTCGACCCGAACGTGTACCAACAAATATCGTAAGTCGACGACACCATCGGATGTCGAGTCGCATTTTTCGATGAAATTTACATTGTAACTCGAAATTATCGTAAGTAGGGGCCCCAATCGTAAGTCGAGATGCCACTGTATCTACATTTGTGTTGACCATAGCGAACCACTAAGCTGGTATGGCAAGTCCATTCAATAAAAGGTGGCCAAACTCGGTCAGAATACGACACCGCCTCCCTCCCTTCCTCAGCATTACTCGTCCCACCATCGAGCATAGTGCTAAATATCACCACAATCCTGCTAGTATCAGTATCCTGGTCAGTTTTATCAGTCAGGGGACTTCTGTAATACTATCATCGCTAAATAATAGCATGTACATATATATTTTGACATTTTTAGGCGATGCTGTGGTCACAAGCTGAACAGCGGTGCTGTGAGCTCAATGCTAACAATTCCCTTTAACAATTTAACAGTAATACAATTCCCCAATAATACGCTACTGACCACATATTGTTGTTCTTCTTGTTGTTAATTTCTTACACTGGAGTATGCAGATATGTTGTTGAATAGGTGGTAAAGGAATAGACCGGATCTCCTTGTCTAAGCAGATTTTCGTAACCGTATGCATTGCGCGATTTCGGGAAAGTTCCTCCCATCGTGCGATTTACAATTACATACCTGTAATTTGCTTTTGATGAATTTATAGAATAGGCCTGGTTCTGTTTTACATTTGTCTGCTATCCCTTTCTCAAAATTTCTGGCTCTTTCACTGCCTCTCTCCATGTAGTTGTTTCTCGCTTCTTTGTATCGTTAGTATGTTTGAGGGTTTGGTCTCTTCCTGTATTGATTCCACTATTGTCTCTTTTGGTATCTGGCCCTCTCACAATTTCCGTTGAACCCATCATATTTCCTAGTTCTGCATCTCTGCCTTGGTATAAATTTTGTTGTGCTAACTTATTTTGGTTATCTCGAGATGATTTAGGGGCTTAGCGTCCCTGTGGCCCAGTCCTCAACCAGGCCTCCTTTTTTGTTACACCCCCCCCAGGAAGCAGCCGGTAGCAGCTGTCTCTCCCGGGTACCTATTTATTGCTAGGTGAACAGGTACATCAAGGTGAAAAAAACTCTGCCCATTTGTTTCTGCCTCAAATGGGGATCGAACCCAGAACCTCAGGACTACGAGTCCCGAGCGCTGTCCACCCAATCGTCAGGCCTTTACCATACATTTCACAAAACTTGACATACGTCTCATTTACTTGCCTAACAGCAAGCCTTTCCACTCAAATTCCTTAAAGAAATTTCTAAGTTCCCTATAATGTCGTCTTCTGAAATCAGGTTTTTCATCTGCTTCAACTTCCTCATATTCTTCCAGATTATAATGCATTGCATACTTTATTCCTAAAAGACATGGTCACTTTTACCCAAAGAAAGAAAGTACTGAATGCCAGTTCTCTCCCTCTTTTCTGGTGAATATCAAATCCCGCATGGAGGGAACATCTCCTCCATGCTCGATTTGAGAAAGAAGGTAAAAAGTCTAGTATTGTGTAATTTGGTAGTAGAAGCATACGCAAATTTCAGAGAAATATCCATCAGTGAAGATTGGAGTCTCAAACTATGCAGAGCTTCGGCCATAGGAATGCGTGTTACCTGGGTTGAGTGGTGCACAAACGGGCCCTAAAGGTGCACATTCTGTGTGCATTTGTACTAAACACCAAAATGTTACTCTCATGATGTCAGCTGTTGAAAAGGTCTTCAAGCATAATTCAGGAGACTCTTTGTCATGATGTGGGTCACCACATTGTTAAGTCACCACAGGAAATGTTTCTTTGGTGAATGTGACGAGTGCCCAGATACACATTTACAGACATATTAACCGAGGCATTTGACAGACAGGGGATTGATGGTATTGAAATCAGACAATGGGACAAACTCTTCTTCATTATTTCTTCGCTAAAAGATAGAGGGCATTTCTATGAGAAAAGAAAGAGCAGCTTGAAGGAGAGCTCTTTGTTGTTGGTGACGTTGCCGAGAACTATTCTTTATTGTGCAAGAAGCTGTTCAATCATTTCATTGTAAAAACTGGCAAGCAACATTATATCAATTTGTAGAATATTTCTGTCAAAATAAGGAACTAGAGTACAAAAGTTTTGTTACAATTTCTGACTAACCAGCACGATGTAATTGCGGTTAACGTTATTTAAACCAGACTATGAATTCTGAAAAGCATCCCATCAAGTCACCAAAGTCATGCATATGTTGTGTACACTCACTTTGCAAAGGCATTTGATAAATGTGACCATGGGGTAATTGCCAAGAAAATGGCTTAAGGAATAATAGGTAAAGTTAGGTTACGCACATTAAATTTTCAGATAAACGGGCCCTAAAGGGGAAAAGTTTAGGAAGCAAAATATAGTAGTCCATTTACAGTGATGAGTGGTGTACTACAAGGCACTGTCTGCACCACTCCATATTCATCATTGTCTTGTGAAGCTGTGGATGTTTTCAGAATATTGGTGGTGGTTCTCTTTTATGCTGTGTTGTAAGATCTGACAATGATGAGCAATTTGCCATTTAATGAGCGTTATCTATTCTTTTTAGTATGATGACAATTACATCAAAAAAATGTTGACAGATTTATTTGTGGCAAGTGCTGGCAGATAAGCTTTAATAAGAATGCAGATGATGCACATTGTAATAATGTTGTTTTTTCTTACAGATGCCTTTGTGCGAGTTGGAAACCGAGAAAGGGGAGCTGGAAGAAAAGGCAGTTCGAACGGGTCTACTTATGAACACACTTACACGACTCACCCAGCAAGGATATGAAGTGGACAGTTCCAAGAGTGAAGCCGATAAAATCATAAAAGAAACTATGATTAAGCTTTTTGCTGTAAGTTATTTCAGTAACAATATATTGACTCTTTGCCTTATTGTTGTTGTAAAGGATTGTGATTCAGCAGTGATTGTGGGTGAGCTGTTTACAGCTAGAGCATATACATCTTGACAATGACTGAGAGGCAAGAAAAGTGTGGTAATCTACTTCCTTGTTACATTCTGTGCGCATCTTTACTAAAGGCATTCTGACCATAATGCTTCTGGTCATTGGTGGTGGTAAGCAGTGGGTGGTTGTTGACCAGTGGTAAAAAGGGGGGGGGGGGAAGAAGCGACCCTTCACAGCCTACCGAGTGTGTACACAAGCCTCGTGGCCCCTATACACAGTCTGGTGTGTTTGTTGCCTCACTATTCACTGAATTATACGTTCTAAATTTTCCACGTGACAATTTACCTACACTTTCAAGCCTTTATGCCTATTTTGTTACAGTTCACTATTCACCATATCACTGTTCACTGTAGTCTAAGTATACCGATGTAAGTATATGTAGACAAGGGCCTGGTGTATATCCTCGTGTAGGCACTACGTTCCCACATGAGCTGGTGAGAGGTGGTTATTCTCTATTAAACACAAAATTCTAATGGCTTCACTATATTTTTTTTTCAAAATGTGGTTTTACACTTTGTGATAACTGTGATGTGTTCTATCACTGTAATACGAATATGACCGAATATGTTGAAGTTTATTCACAGAGCTCGCAAACCCCACGTCCCTCCCATGCACAGACAACTGGACCCCACACACACACACCCCCAACCGGATTTTATCACGTTTTTCCGGATTAAAGTACTTTTTCACCGTGGAAGTCCAAAAGTGACCATTTTCAACTATTTTTATACCACAAACAACGTAATTTGAATTGCCTTGCCATATACAATTATAAAATATTCAACTAGACACCTCAACTTGTTGTAGTTCATCTTATTGACTGATGCCACACATCTTGAAGTTAAGAATTTTTGACAGTTTACGTAACCTATTCTAACACAACACTAAAATTTTAACACACACAATTACTGTACAGTTCACGAGGCAAGTTAGTTTTGACTGCCAGCTGCTGAAGCCTTTACTGGTTGAAGGCACTTGGGTTGCGTGTGATGCCTCGCTAGTTGAAGGCGCTTGACTTGCCTGTGATGCCTCACTGGTTGAAGGAACTTGGGTTGCCTGTGAGGCTTCACTGGTTGAAGGGCCTTTGGTTGCTTTTCTTAAAATATAAGAATCAAGTTTAGCCTGCCTTCTGTGTTCATTGGCCTCTTTTATGATCAGCTCTTTGGTTTGCCTTAGGTACTGATACATGTTTCCAACCTCTGGATTACCACAGTTGGATGAAAAGTTACTTAATCTGTCAACATAAGACATGAGTATATTGTATTTCATGGTCTGTGGTGTTGGTTCCTCGCTGCCTTCTTCATCCTCCTCCTCTTCGTCGACCTCACCAGTACTAGACTGGAGAAACTCTTTCACTCATCACACCATATCCAGGGTCATTAGAAGCCAATCAACCACATCCTGTCTTTCTGAATTTTTGCCGGCATTTCTGAACATTCCATGGATTTCATCTACCCCTCTACACCTTGGCCCAGTTATAGTTGGCTTCCTTGATGGAATAGTTCTCCAAATTCTCATGGGTTCTTTTAGCCCCGTTATCCACGCAGAGTTCCACATCCTAATCAAGAGGCAAAACCACCAAAACTTCATTGAGCATCGTTTTGGTGTACTACCTCTTCGTGACACAGATAACTCCCTGATCCATAGGCTGGATGAGAGAGGTTGTATTAGGTGGAAGTGCCATACATGTTATCTTGCCATTATGTGAGGTTAACGTGTCAATTCTAGGGTGGGCAGGCGCATTATCAAGCAACAACAAAGCCTGTACTTCGCTTGGCTTCTCTGAGTTTCTTAACTTACGAACTGTCCTGAACAACATGTTATGAAACCAAGAAAAAAAGATCTCCTGTGTAAACCATACATTCTTTAAGTTATAATATTTCACAGGGAGTCTGTCCAAGCAACGTTGCAAGGCTCTTGGTTTCTTTGATTTGCCAACAATTGCACATGTGATTCTGTCTTTGCCGCCGGCATTTGCACACATCATGGCCGACAGCCTGTCCTCGTTAAACTTACGGCCTGGCACAGAACCCTCACTCCTCATAGCTAGAGTTTGTTATGGTAAACTCCTCCAATACAGCCCAGTTCATCAGCATTATAAATTTGACAAGAATGTAAATTATTTGACAAAATGTATATTCCTTATTTATGCTTAAATGGTTCTACACTGCTTGTATCTGTACTCAATTTTTCACCAACAATTTTCTTCTTCACAATATTGTGCCTCCCTATGAACCTTGCAACCCACCCTTCACTTGCTTGGAAATACTTTATTTCAAGACTTGCTGCAAACCTGCTTGCAGCATTTCTTATTTCTGGGTAACGAATTGTCACGCCAGCTGTGCGGTGCTGAGCAAACCACTTGCTCAGTAAAACACTTGTTCAAACCATCCAACTGTACATGCGTTGAAATTTTCAAAGTTCTTCTACCACACCCTCTGCTAGTGCTTGCACCTTCACTCTCGCTGGTTGAAATGTATTTCAGGTATTGCGTTTTTTGTTTCCTTATATCAGAAACAGTACTAGTGCCTGTGTTAAAATCCTTGGCAACACTTGAAGTCGGCCGACCACTGTCACAAAGTTGTATAACACATATCTTGTCATTAATTGTCAGGGTAACCATCTTCCTCTTAACACCTCCAGAACGATTCATGCTGCTACCAGACATGGTCTTGGCCAAAAATGTTCAAAGTTACTATGAAAGCAAAAAAGTTATTTAAATAACATATTTTACTAATGGCGCGGCATTGTGGTATAACGCGAGGGACGGGAGCACATGGGCTGTTTGGCTTGACCAGGTCTGTACGGGTCCACTTGGGGCAGGCACGTTACATAGGCCGTCTGACGGAAAAAAACTCAATATTTTTTAAGCAAACTTCAGCCTGTACAAGTTGTTTTTAGGAAACTTGTATATGTGTTATTATGTAATTATTTCTTTTGTTTTTGACTGATAAATTGCTCTAATATTAATGGTAAATGGTCTTTGTGATTATAATTACTGTACTGTAGTGTATAGGCCCCTTCCACATCCCCCCTTATCCCCTAGGTGGTCCCTCCCAATGCTCCCCTCTCTCCTGACCCCACCCACCCACCCTACCCCCTCCTACACCACGGTACGGCCCGACGCCTAGCTTTTTGATCCGGACAACTCGCCGCTTGTCTGGCTTACTGTCCGGATTGGGTAACATCGGCAGCAAGTTAACTGGCTGGGATTTTTTATCTTGCCAAACATCGGCTAGTCCGGACATTTCCGGACACTTCCATGGACATTTTAACCAGATGGGGAGATAACTTTATCCAGCCACGATTTTGGCCGGATTAGGCTGTTTTCTGGATAGGCGGATTCCGGATTAACAAGCTTCTACAGTATCTGTAAGTGAAACTAGACAGTGTGAAATATAAAAATGGTAAGGAAAATCCAAACATGATCTGTTTACTTTCAGCTGGCTTGTCGCACAGAGCGTGAGTCTCGAGCACTTGAGATCTGCCAGTTGATGCCCTCCTATCATACGGTTGAACTTGCAATAAAGTATGCAGGAAAGTTGCATCGTTTGCAACTTGCCGAGAAGCTTGGGGAAGTTGCAGCAGCCAAGATGGAAGAGGAGCTCGAGAAAGAAGCCAAATCTTGTGAAGCGATGGTTGACGAGCTGCAAACGTAAGTAACGATCACTCTTAGAAATAATGAGACGTGTTGAACATAAGAACAAAGGTAACTGCAGAAGGCCTATTGGCCCATACGAGGCAGCTCCTATCTATAACCACCCAATCCCACTCGTATACTTGTCCAACATATACTTGAAGTGATTATAATATTGCATGTGCCATTTAATTAGACATACCAATGTTGGGGAATACCATATAGTTTTCCGTTTTACTGTGTTTGGTGCTTCCAAGTAATGTTTCAAATACCACATTTCCCAGTGGATTGGACCATTTTTTATCCTCCAACTGAATATATATTGTATTTAAATGCATAAAATCATGTGTTTTCCCCTTACAAAGACACTTGAAAATCACTTTCAATAAAGTATGAGAAATGTAATAATTATCTTTTTTTTTTTTTAATTAGGCGCATTGTTGACCAGACCACACACTAGAAATTGAAGGGACGACGACGTTTCGGTCCGTCCTGGACCATTCTCAAGTCGATTGTCACAATCGATTGTCACAAGTCACAATCGACTTGAGAATGGTCCAGGACGGACCGAAACGTCGTCGTCCCTTCAATTTCTAGTGTGTGGTCTGGTCAACATACTTCAGCCACGTTATTGTGACTCATCGCCTGCATGCGAATTAGGCGCATCTTATGTGCCAGAAAAATATGGTAGTACCCCTCTTGATTTTGGCACACCTGCTTTTGACCAGTATTTTCCTCTGATTACTGTACTGTAGCTCCATTGTTGTGCTTCCTTCCTCGTGAGAGATACTCTTTGAGGGTTCTATCACCATGCAAAACTTCCACTCCCTTCTATGATGCTTGTTCTCTGGCTCTTCCATTTGATGTGTTTTACCTTCATAAACTCCTGGTGGCCACTTGGCAAACTTAATTAGATCTATTACATGGTCTCTGTACTCAAAATGAGAAAGCCTGCCTAAAGGAAATAGTTTAAATTTTTGTATTGGGTTTAGATATTTAGGGTTATATTTAAACCCCCTGGGTTTGGGACACTCGTACACTAGAGCAGCCCTGGGACATGCACACACAGGAGCAGCAAATCAAGGAACTAGTGAAAGAAAATGAGGTGTGGGAAGTGAAGAGTGGTGACTTTGAAGAAATAAACAAGAAAATAGATTCATATAGTGAATAACTCCAAGGGAGCCTGAGAGCTAACATAGTTAGGCAAGGATCTGCAACTGGAAATTCATTGACAACTCACATAGAGGAGGTTGATAAAGAACTAGAAAAGTATAAAGAATAAATAAGAGACGTATGGCCAAGTTGTAAAAGAGAAAGCGACGATTAAGGAAGTGTGTTTGGAAGTCAAACCAGAAATGACAAACAAGAAGCGGATCTTAGGCAAGCAATTAGGAAAGCACTGGTTACCAACAGTAAACTAGTACAAAACACTGTAGATAGAAGTAAGTCCATAATAATTTTTGGATGTTTAGGAAATTTCATCTAGGGTGGACAGAGCAGTAGAAGATATGATAATCGTAGAAAAAATTGTAGGATTAGGAGAAGGCCTAAATTCAAAGCAGCATGTCGGTGATTTTAGGAGGATGGGAAAATATGAGCAAGACAGGAACCGCCCCTTAAGGGTGACGTTTAATGGAGTGAAACCCATGACAAAAGTGCTTCGGAAAGCCAGAAAATTGCAGTGTGACGAGGATGGCAAACTTTGGTCAATAAGACAAGACCTCTCAAAGGAGGACAGAGAAAAGCTGAAAATGAACTTCATTGAATTGAAACGTCTAAATGGGAATAGCAGTGAAGAAGGAAGTTTTTTTTTTTTTTTCTACAAAGTGTTAGGGACTGGAAAGCTTATGAAATGGTACATAAAGAGAAAGCAACAAAATAATTAAAGGAAGGGGGTGTAAAGAACAAAGGGAAAGGGAATATGGTCCTGAAAATAGTATATACTATACCAACATAGATGGAGTGAGATTAAAAAATATTGGTGTTGAAGGATATAATCAGCTCAAGGGCCCCAGATATTGTTACATTAACAAAGATGAAACTTGAAGAAAATATTTTATGAGGTCGTATTCCCAAGGGGCTACTCAGTTTGGAGACGTGACAGGAAAACTAGGAAGGGGGAAGGGAGTGGCTGTGCTGGTGAAGGAACACCTGAAGGTAAGAGTGTTAATAATTGAAAACTCTCGAGATATTGACACAGTGGCATTGCAGGTCTGAAATAAAGATGATAAGCTGATAATTTTAAATGCCTACAGCCCACCAGCAAGCAGCACATGGACAAAGGATGAACTGGATGACAAACGAGAGAGCCTCATAATGGTCATGAGAGAGATTATGGTAAGAGCTGACAAAGATAAATCCCGATTGTTGGTACTGGGGGACTTCAACTTTAAAGCAATATGCTAGGAGGCCAATGAGGCAAGAACGGAGGACTTTTGGACATGCAGATTTGTAAACCTCATTCTGGAAACATTCTTGTATCAACACGTCAAGCAGGCAACACGAATGAGGTAAGGGATGTTCCGTCAGTACTGTATCTAGTATTCGCCAGGAAAGAAGATATATTTGACATAAAGTACCTTCCTCCCTTTAGAAAGAGTGATCATGTCCTGTTAGTCATTAAATATGCTTTAAGATATCATCTAGAAGAAAATGGGGACGTTGAAACAGTTAATAAACTCGATTTCAAGAGAGGACACTATGGGGGAACTTCAAATTTTTTTTAATGAGTGTAATTGGATAGACTTGTTGCTAGGCAGGGAAGTAAATGAGATGTATGCCAAATTTTGCAAAATATACGATGAAGGCACACAAACATTTATACCTAAACAGAGATGAAGGGGCCAGAAAACAGGATTGGTTCAACAGAAATTGCGAGGGGGGTCAGAGACCAAAAGACACAAAAATGGAATCAATATAGGAATAGGCCAAACCCTCAAACATACCAGTGATACAAAGATGCAAGAAACAGCACAGCAGTAAGGAGAGAGGCAGAAGGAAATTTTGAAAAAGGGATAGCGGACAAGTTTAAAACAGAACCATGCCTATTTTACAAATTCATAAACAACAAATTGCAGGTAAAGGATAATATCCAGAGGTTAAAAATGGGAAACAGATTCATGGAAAATGAAAAGAGAAATGTGTGACACATTTAACAAAAAGTTCCAAAGTATGTTTGTACAAAATGAAATCTTCAGAGAACCAGACATAATAAGAATTCCAGAGAACAGTATAGGGCGCATAGAGGTGTCTAGAGACGAAATAGAAAATATGTTCATGGAACTAAGTAAGAACAAAGCAGTTGGCCCAGATGGAGTTTCACCATGGGTTCTGAGAGAATGTGCATCCGAGCTCAGCATTCCATTTCACCCGATTTCTCAGACATCCCTGTGTACAGGAGTCGTAGCAGACATGTGAAAAAGGCCAACATAGTTCTAATCTACAAAAGTGGCAGCAGGGAAGACCCCCTCAATTATAGACCTGTATCATTGACTAGGGTAATAGTGAAAGTATTGGAAAAACTAATCAAAACTAAATGGGTAGAAAACCTGGAGAGAAATGATATAATATCAGACAATATGGTTTTCAATCTGGAAGATCCTGTGTAACACATTTACTCAGTTTCTATGATCGAGCTACAGAAATTTTACAGGAAAGAGATGGTTGGTTGACTGCATCTATCTGGACCTGAAGAAGGCTTTTGACAGAGTTTCACATAAGAGGTTGTTCTGGAAACTGGAACACATTGGAGGGGTGACAAGTAAGCTTCTAACATGGATGAAAAATTTTATGACTGATAGAAAAATGAGGGCAGTAATAAGAGGAAGTGTATCGGACGGGAGAAATGTGACAAGCGGAGTACCACAGGGTTCAGTTCTTGCACCGGTGATGTTCATTGTCTACATAAACGATCTACCAGATGGAATACAGAATTATATGAACATGTTTGCTGATGTTGCTAAGGTAATTGGGAAGATAAGTAACTTATATGATTGTCATTCCTTTCAAGAAGACCTGGACAGAATAAGTATATGGAGCACCACTTGGCAAATGGAATTTAATGTAAATAAATGCCATGTTATGGAATGTGGAATAGGAGAACATAGACCCAACGCAACTAGGGACTATACGGCCTATAAATTATGTGAGAAATCTTTAACCACCGTGCTGCGCCGAGTTTATTGTGAAATTTCCCCGGTGCGCATGAAATAGTGTTCCCAAAAAATTCTTTTTTCTTCGTAAAATGATAAATTCTCTTCCCTTAACATGCCTATGTAAAAATAAATACCAAATTCCACTTACTTTGGCTGTGGGGACGTGGACAAGGTGCACTGTGACGTCATCAGGGCCTGGTCGCCCGTGCGTGAATCGCCCAGACATGGTCGCGCGGGCCATTCAAACACCGGGTGTTGCCACAAATATATTTCAATTATTTGTTTTATGTGTTTCCAATGCAGTTTTATTTGTTTTTTATCGTATATGATGCATATTGTTGTCTTCTACAATATGTATACAGTAGAACATTCATAATGTTTCCTGGAACTGTGATACATGTGTCAGTAATGTGTCCACAATAAATTTTTATTGTTGCAATATTACCTGTTAAAAATTCACTAAAATTACAAAATGTACAGTTTCACACACTATATCCGCAGTAACACACTGCATTACACACTCAGTACTACAGAAGTGAGTAATAATCAACGAAGTAGCCCATGGTACATAGCGCAACTTCGCTCTCGGTGCACCAGCTACATAGGAATTTTTGCTTCCCGTTTCTTCATTCTATGTGCTTGCAAATAACGCACTCACGTACACCCTTGGCTTTAGTACTTGTAGGTTGTATGTAGCCAAGCTTGTAAAGCATAAGGTAGTATTGAAAAAATTATAGAAAATGATCAATTTGTAAGGTAGTCTTGAAAAGATCGCTTTGTATGGTCCCACACAGGAAGAGATTCGGCTTACCTCAAGAGTGTCCATCAGTCAGAAAGAGATTCAGGTAGCCTCATGGAGTGTCCGTCAGTTAGGAAGAGATTCAGTCAATCTTGAAAATATCTATGGAAAACACCACCGTGGAAGCCGCTAACACTGTTCATCTATGCTACTTGTATCAGATGCATCATCACTGAACGCAGAAAAGATTCATCTATGTATCATCTAAATAAATCTGAGATAGCATAGGATTGCAAGGGTGACGCTCAGAGCTACAACTAGATACGCTCGCTGTATCGACCTCATAGGTTCTGTATCACTGGCATCCAACCTTTGTGTTATGTCTTTATTGCGCCTAGCTTCACCAATATTATGACTTACATTCTTCAAACAATAATGTTTGAATTTCACCGACAGAGCATTATCTTTCAACACCACGTCGGACAGGTGTTTGGGAGCCAGAGGCGCGTGCGCCACCCATGGTTGCTCATTCAGTACTAACCCAGCCAGAAGCCCTAGGGCATTCTGGGAATTTCTTCCAAGATGGCTGCCTCTCACTGGAGGTCCTAAGAGTCCATTTCGTACTCGACCAACCTCGTACGTTTAGAATTGGTACCGAAAAATTAGAGTTTTCTCGGTTGGCGTAGTTAAGTGGTTAAAGAAGTCAGATAGAGAGAGAGATCTAGGGGTAGTTCTTGATAGAACACTATCATCTGAGGATCACATTAAGAACATTGTGTGAGGAGCCTATGCTACACTTTCTAACTTCAGAATTGCTTTTAAATACATGGATGGCAAAATATTCAAGAAATTGTACACGACTTTTGTTGGACCAAAGCTGGAATATGCAGCGGTTGTATGGTGCCCATCTAAAGAAGCACATCAACAAACTGGAAAAGGTTCAAAGACATGCCACTAAATGGCTCCCAGAACTAAAGGACAAGAGCTATGAGGAGAAGTTAGATGCATTAAATATACCAAAACTAGAAGACAGAAGAAAAAGAGGTAATATGATCACTACGTTCAAAATAGTAACAGGAATTGATAAAATCAATAGGGTAGATTTCCTGAGACCTGGAACTTCAAGAACAAGAGGTCATAGATTTAAACTAGCTAAACACAGATGCCAAAGAAATATAAGAAAATTCACTCTCACAAACAGTGGAAGACGGTTGGAACAAGTTAGGTGAGAAGGTGGTGGAGGCCAAGACCATCGGTAGTTTCAAAGCGTTGTATGACAGAGTGCTGGGAAGACGGGACACCACGAGCGTAGCTCTCATCTTGTAACTACACTTAGGTAATTACACACAGCACACTGTAGTAAGCCTTGGGACATGCACACACTAATTCTGGATTTACAGTAGTGGTGGGGGGATAGGGTGTCAGTCAACAGGAATGTTTTTCTCTGGTTTTGTGAGAAGTTTGGGAGGTTGCAGATGGATCTCTGACATGGCAGCACCAGTTTCTGGTATTGTACTGTATGTTCTTTTGTATAAATTAAAGATGTTTAGAGCGCCTTTGGTTACTTGTTGCAGGTATGGTGGTGGTGGTGTAAGAAGGGTGCGAGCAAAATCTCCTGTGGACGAAGACAATGAAGTGGATGAAGCGTCCCCCAGTCACTACGAGGACCATGAGGAGGAAGTTCATTCAGAAGGTTAGTGCAGTCATGATAACATTGACAGGTTGCCTGTGTTGCTTCAGTGTTAAAACACAGAGTGGAAGCAAGACATTGTGCATTATTAGTCTTCTAATTATCTCGTAAAAAGGAATTCATTACCAGCTCGTTTTTAAGTAGGAGATTGTGCAGAGGCAATATACTTGTATATGTGGTAGTACCAATGCTGCACGGCTATACACTCATCCTAGTTGTCTGGAGTTTGTTCTTGCTCCACAGCCTCAATTTATTGCTATTGTTCCTGTATCATTTATATCTTGTGATACTGCAATGCCGTCTTATTTGCACTTCTAACTGTGAATGGTAGTTGCTTCCAGCATCTCTAGTTCAAGGTCATTATTCCACTTGCTGACCACTCTAACTACATAGGAATATTTCCTTATGCTTCTCTGGTTCGTCTGTGTTTCCAACTTCCACCTGCTGTCCTTCTCTCCTCTAATATTTTAGCTTTAGTTTTAATAGCTCATTCTCACATTTCTTGTACCCATTTTTTTATATATATATATATATATATATATATATATATATATATATATATATATATATATATATATATTCTTTGTATTTGTTAGTTTTTAAATTGTGCATTGCCAGGGTGCAGTATTGTTAGACAGCTGCTATGGGCTGCTTTCTGGATTTACAGAAAGGTGATGTGGGGGGGGGCACAAAAACAGTTGGTTGATTGACAGTTGAGAGGTGGGTCCAAAGAACCAGAGCTCAGCCCCTACAAGCACAACTAGGTGAATACACGCACACACGTTCACTCACTCACTTGGGAAATAAATGAGATGTATGTCATATTATGCAAAATATATGATGAAGGCACACAAACATTCATAACAAAACAGAGATGCAGACCTAGGAAACAGGATTGGTTCAACAGAAATTGCGAGAAGGCCGAAGATCAAAAGATGCAGTCATGGAATCATTATAGAAAGAGGCCAAACCCCCAAACATACCAGCGATACAAAGATAGGAGAAACAACTACACGTCAGTAAGAAGAGAGGCAGAGAGGAACTTTGAGAACGGTATAACAGACAAGCATAAATCAGATCCAGGCCTTTTCTATAAATTCATTAAAAGCAAACTGGAGGTAAAGGATAATATTCAGAGGTTGAAAATGGGGAACAGATACACGGAAAATGAAAAGGAAATATGTGAAACATTAAACGAAAAGTTCCAAAGTGTTTGTATAAAATGAGATCTTCAGGGAACCAGACACAATAAGAATTCCACAGAACACAGAGCGTATAGAGGTGTCTAGAGATGAAGTGGAAAATATGCTAAAGGGGCTAACTGGGCCGGCACAACAACTGCACTTCCAGCTGCCCCATAGGACTGGTGCAAGGATATATCCATGTAAATAATCTGGGAAAGGGAGCGCTCTCTGACTAAAGCATCAATTTGGCTTAAGGCATTGTACTTTGCTTCTTGTCAAAACAAGGCTTGTTCTTTAATCAGCTTCTTGGTTGGGAAAGGGGGACAGTAATTTGGAAAGGAGTGATCTCCCATGGGGCAGGAAAGTTTCGTCATTGTCTCTTTTAGTAGAGGTGATGAATAGTATACATTCTGAGCACAGTGGCAGTTTTGGTAATCCATTTGGAGGGATGCTGACCTTCAAGAAAGAAGGCTTGGAGGGCTTCAGTGCAGGGGTTAGAGTGGGTTAGCCTAAGCATTTTGATACCAATTAAAGCATTAATTTTAGTGATAAGATCACTCACACCTGAAATATTCGGTTCCTTCCTCATGTTTAGTAATTTAGTTGTACGGGGGGCATCCGAGGGTAATCCTCATGGCTTCGTTTTGCATCTTTTCCAGCCCTCCAAGCATTCTCTCAGGCACTAGAGCAAGCAGAAAAATGAAAGGTTGGATAACAAGAACTTTTCACACTAGAGATGCTATACAGATGATACTTTTCATAATGCTTGTGCTCTCTAGAGTGGAGTACTGCTGCACAATGACAGCCCCTCCCTTTCAAACCTGGAAAAATTACTGACCTGGAGAGCGTGCAGAGATTCTTTACTGCTAGAATCCACTCAGTAAAACATCTAAATTACTGGGACCGACTAAAGAGCCTAAATCTGTACTCCCTTGAGCGCAGGCGGGAGAGATACATGATAATTTACATGTGGAAAATAATTGAGGGGCTGGTCCCAAACCTGCACACAGAAATAACATCACATGAGACCAGAAGACATGGCAGGATGTGCAGAATACCCCCGTTGAAAAGCAGAGGTGCAACAGGTACTCTAAGAGAGAACTCTATCAACATCAGAGGCCCGAGACTGTTCAACACGCTTCCACTACACATAAGGGGCATAACTGGCCGCATATTCACCCACTCCGTAAAAAATTGCCTAGTCACCCATGCCTTAGCATTAGCCTTCCACATCACACACATTTTGTGTTTCTGCACATTATATTTTTTTGAAAACCCTTGGATTTTCGGAATGATACACAAGCAAGGGTTTAATTTTCAAATGGCCACTCGCATTACCACCGGTCGGTCGGTCGAGCGGACAGCACACTGGACTTGTGATCCTGTGGTCCTGGGTTCAATCCCAGGCGCCGGCGAGAAACCATGGGCAGAGTTTCTTTCACCCTATGTCCCTGTAACCTAGCAGTAAAATAGGTACCTGGGTGTTAGTCAGCTGTCACGGGCTGCTTCCTGGGGATGGAGGCCTGGTCGAGGACCGGGCCGCGGGGACACTAAAGCCCCGAAATCATCTCAAGATAACCTAACCACACAACACAAGAGTAAACTGATCTTTCACAGGCTTGTGTCCAGGCAATGACTTCTCCTCCTTGGTAATGTATGTTTTCTATGGCAATCTTTTCCAGACTAGCCCTGTCTCGTCACAATTAAACACTTGTTGTGGTAGGTATGCCTCACTCTGCACAAAATCTTTAAATTCGCCAATGAATCTTTCAGCCACTGATTTGTCTGCGCTGGCAGCCTCCCCATGCCTCGCAACACTATGAATTCCACTTCTTTTTCTAAATTTCTCAAACCATCCCCTGCTCGCCTTAAACTCTTTCACTTCTGCATCACTCATTCCAGGGGTTTTCTTTAAAAGGTCTTCATGCAATTTTCTTGCCTTTTCACAAATGATGGCCTCTGAAACTCTATCACCTGCTAACTCCTTGTTGTGTATCCAAATTAATAATAACTTTTCAACATCCTCAAGTGTTTGTGTTCTATGTTTCGTGATTATTGATATGCCTTTTGCCACTTTAGCACCCATAATGTCCTTTTTCTTAGCCAGTATGGTGGATATCGTTGACTGAGATTTGTTGTACTGCCTAGCCAGTTCACCTACCTGCACACCATCTTCATATTTATGAATGATCTCTTGTTTCTGCTCTATGGTCATTCTTACATGGAATCTCACATGTTGAGCCTTACCACTGACTTTCCTGGGACTCATGGCATATTATATAATAATTACAGTACTTTAATGTTCAAAATGCAAAAAATCACCACAAAAGTGGAATTTCTTATAGGCGCGATCGTCAATAAGCGTGTAGCTGTAGTAAACTGAGGCAGGTCGGACCGCGTGACCGGGAACCACGCGCTCGGCCGATCCGAACATGTACCAACAAATATTGAATGTCGACGACACCATCGGATGTCGAGTCGCATTTTTTTATGAAATTTATATCGTAACTCGAAATTATCATAATTAGGGGCAATCGGATGTCGAGGTGCCACTGTATTTAATAAATTAGTGAAGCATTAACTGATGATTGTTGTCTTCTCTGAAATGTTTGGTTTTAGACTTGAGAACATAGAGGTGTTGGCAAGATTGGAGATATTAATATTTGTAGAAGACCTTATTCACAGACCATGAAGATATTGCACTTTAACTGTAATTATTACCTTATTATAAGCATATTTCACCACGTCAGTGTTTGTAAAACAGCTACAAAGTATTTTGAACAGCACATCAGATGTACAAGTAGTGTCAATGCCTAACTTTTTTTTTTTTTTTTATATACTTATTTTAGCTTTTAAATTATTTGAAGTATTACTGTACATAAGACTTGTGTACCAACAGACAACCCGCTGCTGGCTGCAGTAGTCAGAAAAGACAACAGTACATGTAGTCCAGGATATCTCTCGACACAGTCCTCCAAGAATCCCTTCAAGAAGAATGCCACACCGACATCAGCCTCCCAGACTGGCAAACGAGGCATTGATGTTATTGACCAGTTTAGGAAGGCTCAAAAGAAGATGGATAGTAGTCCTGTATTAAGACCAATAGTCAAGAAGCCTCAGGTATTACATTTTACTTTTGTTTTAAACTGCTGAAACTACTTGTGAGTATACCTTTTATCATAGAACATGCTCATTGAGCTTGTATCATCACCTTGTTCTATATAATTTAATTGTTATATTCTGTTTATGCTCAATGTGAATTACATGGGGTCCATCCCCATTTGAGTTACCTAAATCTCCAACATAGTTGAATTTCGTAACTAGAATGTCAAAAATGAGCAGGCATTTTCACAAAGTTCAGTCACATGTTGATAATCTAACTTGCTTTCTCCTAACACCACCATATTAATTGCCGCTGCTCCTCAGACATGGTCTTGGCAAAAAATTATTTACATTTCTATTGATCCTTTCACTTTTTTGCCCACTTATCAATTTTGGCATTACCAGCGCCTTGGGCCAAGTTCAAATCGCTTAGCAATATTTTACTTCCAACATATACTGCGAAGGTACTATGCATGGTAAAGTTATAATTTGGTATCTTTTTAAGCTAAAGAGTTGTACTTTATGATGATATTTTCAAATGCAATAAAAGTAAATTAAACTAACAAAAAAGGGGGAGTTAAAGTTAGCCGATATTACTTTGAAAATGACTACAGTCGTCATTGGAACGTTCTGGCGGTTTGAGCAAATGACAACTGTAGATGTCACAAAAACTTTAAAGGCTTAATAGATTAGGAATGAAAAGCTGTAACAGTGTTACATGAGGTAGACTGGGGTAAATAAAAGAACACTTGACTGAACAAGGTAACAGCATCAAGACTGGTCCATCCCCAGACATGATGCATAGATGCCAGAATTAAAAGAAAAAATCGTGTATTCAAATTCACATACATATACACTACAATTTTTTTGGGTAGTCGAGCAAGTGGACAGGTGGTCAGCCAAAAGCAGGCGGGAGGGCAGCTGAGAGTTTTTGGCAATGAAATAATAGTTCTCAGAGATGTATAAAAAAAAATTGACAATCTGGCACACCGGCCTAAAATGCAAGATATTAGAAATAGGGCGTCCACAGACTGGCTGGCCGGACTGCCTAATGGCCACTGCTGTTCCTTCTCTGCTCTCCTTCCCCCTCGTATTGAGGCTATACAATGGGAGGAAATGCACATCACTGAACTTGTTATGCTTCATACTCACTATGTACGCACCACGAAGGGCTCGGTGTGCGTACTAGAAGCATGTGTCCCCGTAATTTTTATTTTAAGCTGTCGGAGATAGCTATTCATTGTCATAATTTGTTAGATTATCCGTGCCAACACTCGCTCTTGAAATTGTACAAATACTTGATCTCGGCTGTACTTGTGAACAGTACGCGCATACTGCTCATAATTACTGTGTGGCATCTTCAGTGCATGGGTTTTGCTTGATGCTCTTGTTGGTGAAGGGTGGCTAGGAGTGGAGGCTTGATCCATATATGCACTACTTATTTACTTATAATCAGTAGCATTATTCCTGTTTCCCATTCTTGAGGGGAGGTTACTTTCCGATCGGTTCCGAGGATCAACGTCCTCGCAGCTCACTCTCTCATAAGGCCTACTTGTTAGTCGTCTGGTCAATCACACTAATGGATGCGGCTGTTGACAGCCTGAGGTATGAATCAAAGCCTGGTTGACGGGTATCCTTTGGAGGTATTTATCAAGCTCTCTTTTGAACACTGAGAGAGGTCGGCAATTATGTCGACCTCTCTTCCAAGGGAGTGTGTTGAATAGTCTCAGACCACTGATGTTAATAGTTCTCTCAGCATACCTATTGCTGCTCTGCTTTTTTCAATGAGCATTTCAATTGCTCAATGAATGAGGGTACAGTATTTTGCCGTTCTTCCATGCCTTCTCTTCTCATGTGGAGCTATTTCCCTGTGCATATTTAGAATTAGTCTCTAATATTTCCCAAGTGCAAATTACTATGTATCTCTGCTGCCTGCACTCTGGAGAATACAGATTTAAGAATTTAGTTGAAGACCTTTGCTTGCTCTCCAGGTCAGCAAGTTCTCCAGTTTTAAAGGGGGCTGTTATTGTGTAACAGTATTCCACTCTTAAAGAGCACTAGCATCTTGAAAAGCATCATCATTGGTATGGCATGTCTTGTTTAACCCTCAAACCACTAGGGGCAAATGGATTTAACACCCACAGGCGCAAAAAAAAAAAAAAAAAAAAATTCTTTCGTCTAATAGAAGTGTTCATTTTTTTCCCTGATCACGGAAAAAATAACAAGAAAATCGTAGGTGGCATATTTTAGCAGCAATAGGGTAGGGAAGTCTAGCAAAAAAAAAGGGGCGTTGACAGAGCCTTCGCCAGACGAGGTCTACTCCACTCGAGCTGTCAGGCGGCAGTTGCCACAAATATATTATTACCTAATTATTTCAATGTGTCTGATTGATTTTTTCTTAGTTTTTTGTAGTAGTAATATTCAATACAGTGAATTGTGATATATTTGTATAATAAAATGTGTGAACCATCGCTGTACTCAAAATTATGGTGTGCGTATTAGTGATTCAATTATTATGCTCATAAAACAATAAACAAATAGTTTTGCTGTTGTTACACTATATACAAAGGTTATATATAAGTACCTGCATGTATTGCTCACCATAACGAACCACTAAGTTGGTATTGTGAGTCAAAAAGCAACGAGGAGTGACCGCCACACACAAGCCAGCCACTCGCTGCCGCTCCCTCCCTCAACAACACCTCACTTGCCCGCATTCTCTTCCCACAATACTGTTTGTGCATTTATTCACTATACACAGACGTTATATTTAAGTATTTACATGTTTTGTTCACCATAACTGTACATCTAAGCTTGTATGGTGAGTAAAGACACGAAGACGTAGCTACTCAGTCAGCTGGTGGCGGCCGCCCTCAAGGCCAGACACACTAATATTTCTCCTCCAACAATATTGTTTGTGGTGTTATTACGCCCTTTATTATATTTAAGTATCTACCTGTTTTATTCACCATACCTGTACAAATAAGCTGGTATGGTGCTCAAAGACTATAGTGGCCACCAGTAAACATGATAAGTCGTGCAGACGACGCACCTCCCTCACCAAAATGGCGGCTCCCAACCTACTCCTATTGCTGTTATCACACACTATACACACGTTATATATATATAAGTATCTACATTTGTGTTCACCATAGTGAACCACTAAGCTGGTATGGTGAGTGCAGTCAATAAAAGGTGGCCACATATAAGCAGAAGACGACGCCACCAACCTCCCTCCCACAGCCTCACTCCTCCCGCCATGGAGCACAGCGCTAAATATCACAACAATCCTGCTATTATCAAAATCCTGGTCAGTTTTATTGCAGCCAGGTGTCTTCTATAATACTATCATTGCTATATAATAGCATGATCATATACATTATGGCATTTGTAGGCGATGCCGTGGTCAAAAGCTGAACAGCGGTGCTGTGAGCTCGTGCTGCGTGCGCCAGCCTTGGTGGCTTGCTCAATACTGATGCTTTCATACCCAAGAATGTTGGCCTGGATTTTTTTTCTAGGTGGCATCTGGCAACTATTGGTCATGGCTACACTATAACTGCCCCTATCTTGAGGTTGTCTTGAGATGATTTCGGGGCTTTTTAGTGTCCCCGCGGCCTGGTCCTCGACCAGGCCTCGACCCCAGGAAGCAGCCCGTGACAGCTGACTAACACCCAGGGACCTATTTTACTGCTAGGTAACAGGGACATAAGGTGAAAGAAACTCTGCCTGTTGTTTCTCGCCGGCACCCGGGATCGAACCCGGGACCACAGGATCACAAATCCAGCATGCTGTCCGCTCGGCCGACCAGCCCCTATCCCAGACAAGGCATTTAAATTATAGCGCTAGACACAAAATCATATTTATATGACATGCGCGGTTTCGGTTTTGCCACTGAAAGCATATGTGTATATGATTTGCGCAGTTTGAGGGTTAAAAAGTTCTTGTTTTCCAACATGTCATTTTTCATGCAGTTGTGACAGCTACTTTATATTCTTTAAAAGTAAGATTTCCAACATGATTAACCACCCAAAGAACGACCGGGGAGCAGGTTGGCCGAGTGGACAGCACGCTGGACTTGTGATCCTGTGGTCCTGGGTTCGATCCCAGGTGCCGGCAAGAAACAATGGGCAGAGTTTTTCACCCTGTTACCTAGCAGTAAAATAGGTACCTGGGTGTTAGTCAGCTGTCACGGGCTGCTTCCTGGGGGTGGAGGCCTGGTCGAGGACCGGGCCGCGGGGACACTAAAAAGCCCCGAAATCATCTCAAGACAACCTCAAGATAACCCAGGTCTTTTATATTGCATTTAAGTTCTGTAGTATGGTTTAACTGCATTTTTTTTTTTTTTTTTTTTTTTTTTTTTTTTTTTTTCCCATGGCATGAGAGATGGAACTAACCTTCATTAACCCTTAAATCGCGCAAAACATACATATACGATTTGACATAACTAAAGTTTTTCAAACTTGCACAAACACATTCCAATTTTTTGTGCATAATCAACTAGGCAAATGCTCCATCTTTTTGTAAATGATCACAACGTAACTTGAAAAACAAGAATATAAAAAAATTTAAAATTGAATATTGAAAACTTCAGATTTTCAAATCAAATTAAAAATATAAACTATCACCAATTGTTCATTTGGTGTTAGTCACTCAGAATAGCATATGATTTACATTTTCATCCACTTAGAATATAGGTTTTCAGTACAGTTTACTGTAAAAAAGAATCGTCAGTATGGCATTTGAAATATGCGGCAAATTTAGACAAAAATAAATTATAACTCGAATCGTATAGGGTTTATGAAAATCAATTCTGAAGGGATTGTAGAACAGATAGCTGTTGACACAATGTCAAAATGGTGAGAATCGGTCACAAACTGGAATTTTAGAAGTCACTCAAAGTTGAAACTACAGTGGTACCTCGGAATGCGAGTGTCCCTGTATGCGAGTTTTTCGGAATACGAGCAGGATTTCCTCGAAAAATATGTCTTGGAATGCGAGGGTTACCTCGGGACACGAGTTTGTTGATACGCGTACAGGCCGACCCAGCGCGTGGTGGTTCGGCGATCGTCGCCCCTCCACCCATCCGCCCCTCAGTTTACCATTGTCTCGCGCCCAGTGACTACCCCACAACAATTCTTCTCGTGGATTTTCAGTTTTTTGTTGGATTTTTGGTGATTTGACTATACAATTTGTTATTATATATCTCACCATGGGTCCCAAGAAAGCCAGTGGTAAGGATAAAGGCCAGAAAGCCCATGTGAGGATGACAACAGAGGAGAAACAAGAGATCATTCAGAAGCATGAGAACAGTACACGTGTTGTTGAATTTTGTAGGCAATACAACAAAGCCACATCAACAATATGCACTATACTTAAGAAGAAAAATGAGATTATGAGTGCTAAAGTGGCAAAAGGAGTAAGAACAATAACGAAACAAAGACCACAAATACTTGAATAAGTGGAAAAGTTGTTATTAATTTGGATACACGACAAGGAGTTAAGGGGTGACAGTGTTTCGGAGGCCATTATTTGTGAGAAAGCCAGGGTTTGGACAGATTTGTAGTGAGGAAATCGAGCAGTGAGCCTCAACCAGGACCTAGTGGCACTCAGATAAAACGTGCCAGGGAGAGCACACCAGAAAGGTCTTCACTGCCTGATGTGATAAGGGAAGGGGACTCCCCTTCCAAACAGTAACTCCTCTCCTCCTCCCCCCTCCTCACCATCTTCCATACGCCTACAGCATTCAACAGCAAGGTAAGTAATAACTTGAACATAGTTTTGTAGGTTTATTTAGATGAATTAGGTATAAAAATTTAGTTTGATGTGGGGTTTTTGGGGTAGTCAGGAACAGATTAATTCATTTCCCTTTATTTCTTATGGGGAAATTAGCTTCGGAATACGAGTTTTCAGAATACGAGGCGTCTCCAGGAACCAATTAAACTCTTAAACTGAGGTATGCCTGTAGTTTCAGAGATAATTGAAGTTGAAGTTCTCGACAATGAATAGAAGTACTTCTAATTCATTAAGTTAATTAATGTTTTAATAAACATTGTTTGGCATTCGTACTCAAATATGTGAAAGTTGTAGGTCAATGCGGGTTAAAATGAAGTGAAAAAAAATACCCCCCCCCCCCAAATAGGGATAACTATAATAATTATAAGGGGATTTAAGATTTAGGGGATATATTTAGACTATATTTTACGCAAGTGAAAAAGCCCTAATCTGGTCCCTAATCATCAAAACAACCTAAAGAGACAAAGAAAATAGTTTGAAATCTGTGAAAAAATTGGCCCAAAAAAATTCTTAAGTCCCAAGTTCTGCCAGTTGTGACTAATTTATTTGTTGACCAATTTCATTCTGTCTTCACATAGTTTGGGACTGGTATGTACTCTCCAGGATGTGAAGGTTACAACAAAATCAGATAATAAACAAAGGAGAAAAAACTAAAATCTTAAAAAAAAAATCCCCCCCCCCCCCCACCCAAAAATGGGACATTGATGAAAGTAACTGATAATAACATTGGGCAATGTATTTATATGATATATAACAAAATAGAGCATAATAGCATACTTACTCATTATTATTTGTGATTCCAGTTAATAGCTGTTCTTATCAACAAAACATTCTTTTTTTTTTTTTTTTTAATTCATCTAAAACCAATTTCTGAAAATTTGTTGATGAAAGTTTCACGACACTTAAGCCAATAAATTGGAGATTTGTTTCACATTTTTAAGTTTAACATAATACAAATATTTTTTGCTTCCCGGCTCTAAATCTGCACAGTTTAAGGGTTAAACACATAATTTTCTATGGTCCATTAAAAGGCCAGATTTACATCAGTACTGTATAGAGGTTTGCTGTGTCCTCTGTATTGTCTATTCTCTTAAAAATGCTAGTGTCATCTGTAAATGATATGGCACTATAGGGCATAATTTGTGACCTTATCTATGTTCTATATGAGAATGAAAGTTGTGGAGCAAGCACAGTACCTTGGGGAACTGACTTCTTCACGGTTGAGCCAGATTTGACTTTATTGACTATTACACACCGGGTTTTGTTTATGAAATTAAAGATACATTTTATTTTGCAAGTTATTCCTTTTGAGCCCATTTTCTCTGCAGTGATACTGTGTGTTACATTTGTTTAATGCTTTTGAGAAATCTTTGTACTTTCTCACTCAATCTCACTGTGATGTTTTCTAAACTGGTCTTTAAACTGCTGAGTATTTGCCTCTGGTGACTTGTATACAAGGACAATAGCCACATTCGATCTCTATTTTGATTATCAGCACTTCCACCATGTCATTTGTGGTGTCTTAACAGATGAGTGTGTCTGATTTACAGACTGACCCCACCCTGTAGCCTGTGTTTTTGTGTCACATTTGAAAAGATTGTATTACTGTATCCATATCTCACAAGCTGGAGAGTTTAGGGAGTCCTTTAGTAAAAGAAACCTAAAAAGTTAAATTCTGCCCATGCTTTGGCCACCACAACAGAGCATCACCACACTCCATGTAATCACACTTGGGACAGAAGAAAGAATTACTTTCACTGTCTAGAGCGAGTCATACCACTGTGAATGGCCAGTTATCACAAGAAAAAAGGACACTGCAGAAGGCTTATCGGTCCATACGAGGCTGCTCCTATTTATATCCATCACTCTATCCCAAACAAACCATTCCATGCAACTCTCTAGCCTGCCAGTCATTTGACACTGGCAAGTTTTTTTTTTTTAAGCACTAAGCCATCATATTCCTCTTTGAGAAGGTTGAGGAACCTAATATAATATTACCTTATTAATAAAGCTATGCAGTCTCTTTAGCAACAGTCTGCTGTTCATCTTATATGCTCATCTTAAATTTTCAGTAATTAGTTCATATCAGTATTGTAAACCTTTTTACTGAGAACATCATTTAGCAACCATATTTATCTTTTTCAGAATAAACAAACTACATTGAAGAAAAAAACTTTACAGGAGGAAGTTGCAGCAGCTGTAGGGAAGGAAAACCAGTCTGAAAATGCAACAAGTTCTCTCTCTAAAACAGAAACTATAAATCCTTTTAGGAAAAAGGAGCCGTCGCCACAGCCTGCTGTCAAGAAACAGTCGGCACTCCAGTTATGGCTGGCAGATAATGAAGAAAGTGTCAAGTCTCAGTATCCCGAGGCCAGTGAGAAGGAACTCGTGGCCAAGGCTGCATTAATATTCAAAGATCTTGATAATGACGTCAAACAGGTGTGTGTTATGCAAGTGAAGATTTGAATGACGAGTGGCTGTGGTTTGGGTGTAAAGGGAGTTAAAGGGAATATCTGGGTATGAAGTAGATGGTTAGGATCTGTTTCTTATGAAATGGAAGGGTAACGAGGAGACCAATGTGTTGGGAAGATGGAAGTGGATTGTAGATGGTGGTGGTTGGACGCAGTGCACGAGACTTGTCCAATTAATAGCTGAATGAAGCTTTGCAAAAACAGAAGGAAAGGGGAAATTTGGCAAGAAAGTTGTGTGTGTTGAGTAGATTATGATTATGCTGGTTTACAAAAGTTTCATTTTTGTCACAAATGACAAAAATGTGAAAAAGTGATTTTAATAGTATTTTTTATGCTGAATTCAACTATACAGTATTATTAGTTTTGTATTTTAAAAGATTTTTTGTGATACACGGGTTAATTTTGAATAAATCATGTATTTACATATGTATAAAGTATATTATAAATATATTTCAAACTATACAAAATTAACTATAGGGATAATTTTTATGACTTGTGGTATGTTTTGCTTGGGGACGATCCCTCTTGAGTATCCAGCAACAGTCAGCCAACATACTAATACTGTACTCCACTTGCCTGATACTTTTCCAAGCTCGAAGTGGCCTGGTGAAATTGCTCGCCGTGTTTGTTGCTGACAATGCTCAGGTTTTCTAGGAAGAACTCAGAGGTGAATTTTTAGACATTATATCCTAAATCCTCATATGAGCTAAATAGTTCACACACAAAATCACATTAGTTTTACTGCCTTTGAATTTCTCAAACAAATTTTAGTAATCTTGTTGAAAGACATCCATGCTCTTTGTCAACAGGGTTCAACTTTTCAAACTTTTTATTTGTATTGTTTCTCTTATTTGAGCAGCTACACACAGGAGCTGTGTATTTTCTATTAGCAAATTTTCTATTTCTGCTTGATTAATTCTTGGAAATTTTTCTTTTAACCCTTGTGTTGCTAAGGGCTGTTTGGCCATTGTCACCCACAGGCGCATAACAAAAAAAAAAATCTTCTGAACCTGTTAATTTGTATTCCCTGATCACAGGAAGAATAATAAAAAATCGTAAGTGGCATATTTTGTCCGCTATAGGACGGGGAAGTCCGGCAAAAAAAAGAGGCGCTGACTCAGCCTTCATCGGAGGCAATCTGTTCAGCCCCAGCTGTCAGGCAGGAGTGGTCACAGAGATAATTACCTAATTATTTCAGTCTCTGATTTTTCTTCATTTTTTTTGCTGTAATATTATTCAAAAGTGTGTAGTGTGATATATTGTGTGCGTGTGTAATCGTCGCTGTACTCGAAATAATGGTGTGCATATTAATGATTTAATTATTGTGTTCATAAAATGATAAACAAACACTTTGTCGGTTATTACACTATATACACAGGTTATGTAATTACCTAAGTGTAATTACCTAAGTGTAGTTACAGGATGAGAGCTACGCTCGTGGTGTCCCGTCTTCCCAGCACTCTTTGTCATATAACGCTTTGAAACTACTGACGGTCTTGGCCTCCACCACCTTCTCACTTAACTTGTTCCAACCGTCTACCACTCTATTTGCGAAGGTGAATTTTCTTATATTTCTTCGGCATCTGTGTTTAGCTAGTTTAAATCTATGACCTCTTGTTCTTGAAATTCCAGGTCTCAGGAAGTCTTCCCTGTCGATTTTATCAATTCCTGTAACTATTTTGTATGTAGTGATCATATCGCCTCTTTTTCTTCTGTCTTCTAGTTTTGGCATATTTAATGCTTCTAACCTCTCCTTGTAGCTCTTGCCCTTCAGTTCTGGGAGCCACTTAGTAGCATGTCTTTGCACCTTTTCCAGTTTGTTGATGTGCTTCTTAAGATATGGGCACCACACAACAGCTGCATATTCTAGCTTTGGCCTAACAAAAGTCATGAACAATTTCTTTAGTATATCGCCATCCATGTATTTAAATGCAATTCTGAAGTTAGAAAGCATAGCATAGGCTCCTTGCACAATATTCTTTATGTGGTCCTCAGGTGATAGTTTTCTATCTAGAACCACTCCTAGATCTCTTTCTTTATCAGAATTCTTTAAAGATTTCTCACATAATATATAGGTTGTGTGGGGTCTATGTTCTCCTATTCCACATTCCATAACATGACATTTATTAACATTAAATTCCATTTGCCAAGTGGTGCTCCATATACTTATTTTGTCCAGGTCTTCTTGAAGGGCATGACAGTCATCTAAATTTCTTATCCTTCCTATTATCTTAGCATCATCAGCAAACATGTTCATATAATTCTGTATACCAACTGGTAGATCATTTATGTTCACAATAAACATCACTGGTGCAAGAACTGAACCCTGTGGTACTCCACTATGTATACGTATCTGCATGTTTTGTTCACCATAACGACCCACTAAGTTGATATTATGAGTTAAAAAACAGCGAGGTCTTTTGCTGTTATTACACTACATATACACGTTATATATAAGTATCTACATTTCTGTTCACCATAACGAACCACTAAGTTGGTATGCTGAGTGGCAGCGGCAGCCCGCCACTGGCTGTCCCCCCCCCTCCCCTCCCTCCTTCCCTCACCTGACTCGCCACAATTCTCTTCCCACCACACCGTTTTTGCTTTTATTCACTATATACAGACGTTATATATAAGTATCTGCATGTTCTGTTCACCATAACGAACAACTAAGCTGGTATAGTGAGTCCAGACAGTAAGAGGGGGTCACACAGTCAGCAGACAATGCTACCTCCCTCCCTACCAAGATTACTCCTCCCACTACAGTGCTATTTATCACAACAATGCTGCTATTATCAGAATCCTGGTCATTTTTATCACAGGGGTCTTCTGTAATACTATCATCACTAAATAATAGCATGTACATGTATATTATGGCATTTTTAGGCGATGCTGTAGTCACAAGCTGAACAGCAGTGCTATGAGCTCATGCTGCGTGCATCAGCCTTGGTGGCTCACTCAGTACTGAGGACCTCACACCCAGGAATGTGGCCCACGATTTAAAAAAAAAAAAAAAAGCATCTGTTTACAAGAGCCCTGAATCTTTGGTGAGGTGAACCCCGTGTATCCGTGAGCCATTTAAATCTTGCGTAGTACTCCAACACGTCATCTGATGTGATGCGCACTCTGGGGTAAGTTACTCAACACATCATGTGACATGCTGTACAGTTTAAGGGTTAAATATAAAAATCCATCACTATTCTTGTCCATTGGTGCTAATGAAACCGGTGGAAGTTTATATGTTACGAAGACAAAATTTTAAGCTTTCAGTACTTTAGAAAAGCCTGTGAACAAACGCCATTCCTTCATTTCATGCTCATGGGCAAGTGCCGTCATTACAGAGCAGATATTGCTACAAAATACTAAATTTACTTGCAGTGGAATTATGTAAAATCTTCACAATGGTTCTGGAAATGACATATTTAACCACTGCACTGCGATGAGTGCCTTAAGGTGCTGGATCGAGAGTGCGCAGAGCACTGTGTGGCATCTGTAGGTATAGTATAGGTAAAGAGCTGTAGAAGAAGCGAAGGTAGTAAATAAAATTGTTGGCCTCGTGGAAAGTCTTACTACCATAGAGAATGTGAGCGACTACAGGAGAATAGGCAGGTACGTAAAAGGGAAAGATCAACCTTTGAGGATCACTCTAAACGGTGCCAAGCAGATGGAAGTAGTACTAAGGAATGCTAGAAAATTACAAAGGGATGAGGATTGGAAAGTGTGGTTCATTAAGACGAGATCTTTCAAGAGAAGAGGGAGAGAAGCTGAAACTTAACCTCGTAGAGGCAAAACGTCTAAATGAGAGCAGAAACGAAGAAGACATACATTCTTTTTTCTACAAAGTGATAGGGGTAGGCAGGCCAGTAAATTGGTACAAAAAGGTAAACCAACAAAATTGCTAAAGAGAGGGGTAGTGAAGAATAAGGAGAGGGTGAACATGTTCCTGAAAATAGTATACACCCATGTAGATGGAGTGAGATCGAAGATACTGAAGTGATGTAATACAGCTACTGACACCAGACATTGTTGCACTCACGGAGACAAAGCTTGAAGATGTTATTTTAAATGAGGTCATATTCCCAAGGGCTACTCAATTTGGAGACCGGACAGAAAAATTAGGAAAGGCGGTGGCGGTGTTTTGCTGGTGAAAGAACACCTAAAGGTGAAGGAAATAATGACTGCCAATCCACAAGAAGTTGACATAATAGCACTAGAGATCTGCCATGAGGAAGATAAACTAATGGACATAAATGCATATAGTCCACCGCCAAGCAGCACATGGACAAAGGAGGAGCTAGATAGTAAATGAGAAGGTCTTATAACAATAATGAGAGATTATAGTGAGAAAAGATAGATAGATCAGGACTGTTGATAGTCGGGGACTTCAACTTGAAATCCATTGACTGGGAAGCATATTAAGCTAGAACAGAAGATTTTTGGACCTGTAAATTTCCAGACCTCATCCTGGAAACATACTTGTATCAACATGTTAAACAAGCTACGAGGATGAGGGAAGGGGACGTTCCCTCCATGCTAGATTTCATATTTACCAGGAACGAGAAAGAAATATTTGACATTCAGTACCTTCCTCCCTTGGGTAAAAGTGACCATGTCTTTTTGGGAGTAAAGTATGCAATGCGTTATAATCTGGAAGAAAATAAGGAGGTTGACGTAGTTGTAAAACCTGACTTCAGGAGAGGAAATTATGGCGACCTTAGAATTTTTTTTAGTATAATTGGACAGACTTGTTGCTAGGCAAAGAAATTAATGAGATGTATGTGAAGTTTTGTGAAATGTATGATAAAGACACACACAAATTTATACCAACACAGAGATGCAGAACTAGGAAACAGGATTGGTTCAACAGAAATTGCGTTCCTGGTAAATATGCGAGAGGGCCAGAGACCAAAAGACACAAAAATGGAATCAATACAGGAAGAGGCCAAACCCCCAAACATACTGTATTGT